TTTTTTGTGTTATGAAACTTTGATGTTCATATAAGGGAGGAAAATGTTGACTTGGGTTTAACACTGATTTAATATTCAAAGCGACTATTTTCCGGTTTGAATAAACCAGAAGGGGGTTGTTGCCAGAAATTGCACCAACACGTCTTCCGGAAAGAGGAACTGTAACAAAACGCTTCCACGGTTTAGGTAATTTTGTAACGGAATGAATTGTATTTGTCACGAAATACAATAGAAGTGGCGTGCGGTCGTGTGAGAACGGCAAAATTAAACTTCACGGCTGCAAGATTGAAATTTACGATAAAATTGGTCATCCAATTCTTTATTTCAAATTCAACGTATTCTATTTTATGTTATCTCTTTTCTAGGTTCTCGAAACATGTAAGTCTTTTCTTATACGAAAAAAACACAATAAACTGAAGCACCATTCAGTTCAACAAGAAACGCAAGAAGGGAGAAAGGTACTTTCCCTTATTCCAAACAATTTCAACGTCGCTCCAACCGACCTGGAAGGGTTCGCGTAATGAAATTTTAGGACGAATGCATAACTTTCGAATAACGAAAACGCAATTACGCCGGCCTCTATTCTGTATCTACTACCTTCGTATCTTATTTTCTATACAAACTTGTTCAACCACTCTATTTAAGTTTTCTCTAGATTTTAATCAGAGATTTTAATCGGATTTTAATCTCCGTGCATCCGCAATATGATTGAATTATCGATGGGAAAACTAATTAGAAAATTCATAAAGATTTTACCGCATTGAGAAAGACATTGTGTTGTAATACTTTTGACATTGGTAATATTTTTTTTACAAAAAGCTATTTCAAATGTCAAAGTTTTCCTATTCGAAGCTTTCCAAACCACATAGACCTTAAGCTAACGGCAGATTCGAATGAACTTTTTGACACAGAAGCTTTTCCCCACTGCATCGCCTACACTGATTTCGCATTGTTTCAAACACCGAGGGTATAGGTGGGGCGAAAAGCCTCACCAGAGATACGAGAAGATTAATGATGGAAAAATTCCACTCTTTTTTTATTTTAAATGAACAATCTGCTGATAGATAAAAAAAACTCTCGAGTATTTTAAAAACCTTTTATTTTTATGGAGATTTATTTATCGATATGCGAAGTTATTTTAATCGGTTTTTAAAAAAATACGGAAGGATTTAAATTATCTATAAAAATGGTTTATAGAATTGTACCAATAAAATATGGAGGGTGAAAATATTTTCAATATAAACGTTTCAATTAATTTGTTTATATTGGCAGTTATTAAGTGATCAATTTTAATTTTATTACGTAGTATATTTTATTATAAATTTAAAATTGTATTTATTTATATTTCGCATTAAAGGGGATTCGCAATTTAGTTTTAATTTGGTGCCTGATTATTTTATATTTACGAAAGCGAATTTTCCAACGAAACGCTTAAATAAGTGAAGCATGCTAGAATATGGCATAAAAGTAAGATATTATAGTATTTATTGTGCAATAAGCACAACGCCAAGTCTAGCAATGGATGTTCTGCTTTTCCTATCTCCTTTGCATTTGCATATAGAGAATGTGACCAGAATTACGTTTAAGAAGTTATAACTGCTCCGACATGTCCTACCAATGGGTCAAATTTGACGGGATCACCACCAGTGACTAAATTGTTTTATCCTTATTCAACTACTGCGACGTAATTTATGATCCTTGTCTTGATGTGGCTACTACCCTTCAAATGCAACGTCTGCAAATTTGAGATTTATATATGGTATAAGACGAAGAAACAGGATTTCACATACACTTTTTTAGCCTAACTGGTTGAACATGTCACAACATAGAAAAATACATTCTGCTTGTTTTTTCCATAAATTAATTTTATCTGGAATTTGATCGCTAGAATTGCTGTATCGTTGCAGTTGTTCTTGTACCGTTACCGTTGTGATGTGCATAACATTAATGTTAGACTTCGTTTTAGGATTTCCATTCCTAGATATCGTACACAACTATTTAAAAGTTCATTTTCTTATATTACCGCTGTGATATGCATAACATTAATGTTAGACTTCGTTTTAGGCTTTCCATTCCTAGATATCATACGCAACTATTTAAACGTTCATTTTCTTATGCTATTTACAGTGTTTATAATAGCATCCCTTTGAGGATTTTGCAGCGAAGTGAGCATGGCTTTATATAATTTATGTAAGATATTATAGAAACTTTTCTCGATTACTTTAATTATTTCCAGAAGAAATTCATTATCATCAAAGCTCCGAATTCAATAATAATTTGATAAAAGAATTGGTAACATTAGACAGAATCACGTTGTTTTCGACTTTATTGAAGCATTGAAGTGAATCACAACCTTCCACAAGAAAAGAAAATGGGCGCAGCAACCATTACGTATAATAGCACAATCAATATTTCTATTGAAATGACATTGTTCGAATTACATCTCAGTTACACGCGCACAAAAACTCCTCTCGATTAATTCTATGATACTCCAACTTGTATGAAGTGTTATTTTGGTCCAAATAATAGGTACCGTTGCCTTCCACGGTAAAAGAGAATCGAATTAAATAACAAATCCAAGGTATTAAACGAAATTGTAAAAAAAATAGATAATGACACTGAAAAAACCATCTATTACAAATTTGATGCTGGTAGTTACCAAATAAAGTTCCGAATAAAAGGTCCACATGTAAATACAAGATGTCCAAAACTTTGAAGTAAAATTTTTTGACAATCAAAAAGATCTTGAATAACTTGAGATTGATGTTAAGAAGACCACATAAAAAAAAGCCCGCATCATTACGTGGCTTTCAATGTGCTATTCGGAAATTATATTTTACGTCCTTATCATTGTAGTGTATTACCAGTATTACCACAGACGTTATCTGCTAGATTCATTGATACGGCAAATTAGGGATGGTGAGATGAAATTGCTTCGATTACCAGGGTTACTACGAATTTAACATAATTGAGTAAATATAGGCTTCCGTTAATAATAAAATTTCAAGGATAACATCACCTTTAAAATTAACGGTATTATGCAATTGCTTCAGGTATTCCACAAATCTGGGAGAATTGCGTAGGACATTTTATCAAAAGACCTCTCTGAAACGGTATTTGGAGTATATAAAGACTAAGTTCTTTTGAAACAGACTTTGAGAAAGTAGGGCCAAAGGAAGACAAGTAACGCTAATGATACCGATATTCTTCACCTTTGTGGAGATCAAGTATTTGCTGGATTAGTGATTGCAAATCATCAACCAGTATAATGGATGCTTCACTTTTGACTTTTATATATGTAGTGTACTTAAAAGCTATTGAACCATCAAAGACTCGGAGTACCTACTTTAAACAAAGTAGTGTTGTTGATACATGCCACATAAAGTTTATAAATTAGTAAAAGAAGTATTAAAAAATGTCTCTATAATGTAAAAGTTGAAATCTTACCGATTTCATCTTTCTCAAAATTAATAAAAGTAAGACTTAGTTGCAATTCAATTAGAAAGTCTGTTAGCCGAGACGCTACAATATCCCCCTAATGAATATAAAATGGAGTACTACATATTGCAGCCCCTCGGCAGCAAGCTATCTCGGCCTTGTTGCCGAGACGCCGCAAACAATCTACTCCAATACAAAGTTAGGCAATACACATTGCACTGCAACAAGCGACCTCAGCTATGTTCATGATAGAGAATGAATTACTTACTAATTTATTACTAAATAAGTAATACTGTATCAAGCTTGTTGCAGGCATTGAATTCTACAAAACATTTCCAAGTTAAATCTCGGCAATTTGTACAGTTATTTAAATTCCTGACAGGATTTTTACAAGTCCTTCAGATGCCCCCTTTATCACAAATGTTTCCTTTTCGATCTATAAATACCACTTTTGAGTATAATGTTCTAGAAATAATGCTCTTGAAAACACTGGTTTTCAAATATGCTTTTCATAAATTCGTTCGTAAATTCAAACGCGAGCACTTTTTCATTATTTTGGCAGTTGGTAAATTTTGGTTTGAAGTTTAATTATTTGTTATTGATCAATCATAGACACAAAAAACTTTTACTGTCTGCTAGAGACAAGCAGGCAGTATGCAGGTGTTACATAGAGCACAAAGGGATTATTGCTGAATAACTCAAATGCATAATTTTTGAAAACGTCGTTTTTAAAGTAGTGTAAATAATCTATAGAATCATTGTAGTATAAAAATTAACATAATGCTGATTACGTTTATGAAGGTCTGCTCTTGTGAGACACCATTTAGATCGATTTTCATTCAAATCACCATCGAGACTAAAACAATAGGGTTTAAAATTGTTTGCACGATATCGTAAAATGCGTTTTAGTTCGCCACTTACTTTAACACTTAACTACTCACATAGGTCAAATAGATACGGATTTACCAAATGCACATATTAACCTGGCGGGATTTGAATAGCAATCGTATTCAAACTCTTTTCATGTCAGTTTAAAACATGCGTCCTTATATTCACGACTATTTAACATCACACAACATGTTTTTTATGTATATAAAAAATGAACTAGCAGCACTTTAAAGTATTATAAAGTGTTGCTTGAAAATCCTAGAAATCTTTAGAACCTAAATATTAAGATAAATAGCTGTCATAGTCTTGGTTGCGTTAAAGATCTTATTATTATGATTAATAGTTAATAAAACTTTTGAATAATTAACAAATTTTCGAGAATGTGGGATTTTAGTAAATCCATAGACAAAAGGTCATGCTATCCTTTTCACTAAATGCAAAACGAAGGTCGAAAAGACTCAATTAATTCACAAAGCAACCTCCGCTTTAAAATAGTGCTAGTAATTAGTGACTGCATAATTAACCTGGCGCGAGTCGTTATGAGAGATTTACAAAAGAAATGAAAAAAAAAACAAAGAAATACGAAAATAATCGCACATACTTCTTGAGTAGAAAAAAACAGAATTAAAACTACAAAACCAGGCAATATTAAAAAAAAAGCTTGAAACTCTTACCGAAGTACATCACGAGCACCATCACCAATTTAATTTCCATTTTGTCGAGCGGTTTGTTCAATATTCGTCGAGTAGAGAGTAATTATTAGAGGCTTTAAGTCGTTGTTTTTTCATTGTTCGCGAGACACTTTTTTAAATGATCAATATAAATTTTTAAATTAACATAAAAAAAAATCACAAAGGTTTTTTATTACTAAACTAATTAAACTTTGAGATTGGTTAGTTATATTGAAAGTTTTTGCGTCGCGAAATCGAAATTTTCTCGCGGATCTCAAACTGGTCCAGAGCGCAGTTTCCACCCCTGAATTTTCACCCCGACTGGCTGCTGAGAGTTGGCGCGATATTTCCCGACGACGACGCGTTTCGTCCTTTTGACGCATGTCTGCGGTTTATCTTAGCCACCGGTTCTGTTATAATTAACTGTAAAGCAAATATGTTGAATAAAATGTCATCATCAGCAAAACATTTTTGATTTTATTTTTCTGATAGATGTGACTTTTTTTTTGAATGTCAATTTTTAAAAGTGTGGGAAAATTTTTTGTTGGGTAGAACTTCCTGTTCCTCTCAAATCCTTTGTAAAATTCCTTTTTGCCTCTTTGGGTCAAATCGAAAAGCGAACGCACGTCATTTTTCAGTGACAGTTCCATTGTTAGGATGTACTGAAAAATCACCTTTACTTCGTCAATAATTCACAGAACGGCAGGAAGAGAGAATTGTCGCTGTTTTGTTACGGGTTTTTAATCGGCCAGACAATAAATAATATTTTAAAAAACTTGATAGACAAATTAATCCAGGAAAATGCCGCCCGGGTTTATTTATTTTCTCATTTTCGTATCATTCTTACCGACCGAATAAAATAGGATTTAAACAGAAAAAGCAATTTAAACTTTTTATTGTCGTAAATTTCATAAAAGATATCTACAAACACATTTTAAAATCGTGTCGGTGGTGGTTTGAATTTGAATTTAAAATTTGTAGCTAGTTCTCGTACTTTTAACAGCTCCCAGTTGTACAACTCGACATTGTTGGAACTTAAAATTATAATAAATTATTGTACACGTAATCTATACTAGAAAATGGACTTTCTATTAAATTAATTCTATATGAACAGGTATTGATAAGATTATTCATGATATACTGTTTTTGCTTTTAGTTTTTTATCAATCAAAACGCTTTAATGTATAAATAGAAAATGTGTTTACATATTAATGGAGCGTATGAAACGCTCGAAAAGCATTAATATTTGATCTAGAACATGTTTTGGACATATAAAATAATTCTTTCATGAAAACGAAGAAGTGATCTTTGTTTATTACCCAACCTAAGATTTTTTTTATATTATTATAAAATAAGGCTATAAAGCCTTATTTACAACGTTTACCAGTCAAGAACTATGACGTTGGTGCTTCATCTGCAGTGTAGCTTGATGGGCAGAATGAGTTAGCTATGGGGATTGGGATGAAACCCTTCCCCCGTCAATCATCTTTGTTCCCTGAATCCAAATTCATTCTTCGGGAGTAGTCTTTTCTACCATTTCTTGCAGTCACTCCAACAGAATTTTCAGTTTTGGGATTGTTACCACCATCATTGTTTTCCACGTCGTTAACCCATCCTAAGCTAAATGATCAGCTTATTAGCCCAACCACACGTGCCAAACTGAATGCACACAATTCAGAACCACACCAAAGTCAACCTATCTACATCGAAAACCAGTTCCAACCCGACCCAATTGTACTGATAAACCACCCAAATGTCATCCAAATCTACTAATTGTAAGTCAACTCGACTATTTACATCCAAACCAGATCCAACATAAATCACGCAGCTAACCAAATCCATAATCCGCAATCAAACCTACCCCAACCCAACTTATCCACACCGAAAACCAGCCCCACACCAAATCACAAACCCCAACCCAATTCCACAGAGTTCATTCATACCCAAAACAGCATATTTACTTCGAAACCAGATACAACCTTAGCTAATTAAGGTTCAATTCTAGCTGATACATACTCTCTCAAATGACACACAACATAAATTACAGCCGCGATAGTTCAAATGCTCGTTAATCAAGCAAGATACAAAGTGAGAACTCCAAGTGAACCACCAACATTGACACTCACAATTTATTTTTTATGTAAACACACGGATAGATATGGCTGCATTATTATTTCATTGGATTGCATTGTGGCGGTGTATAATATCATAAGTCTTAAAACAGGTGAGTAACACATGCTTTATTCTCATGATCTCTATACTCTATTGCGACATAAAAACATCTCTTACAAAAACAGCATTTGAAGTGACCCCATTGACTTCTATAGTTTCTCGAATAACTGCCCCAGGGTGTGGTGAAAATAAAGAGTCGCTCTGCAAGTCAATTTCTTCCACATCTATTGTTATATTATGTAAAATACAAATACACTTAATAATCTAATCTGCTAGATCAGGTGTTGTTTCAATGAGTTTCCGGAGTATTCGAAACTTAGCATTTATTATTCCAAAAGCACATTCTACTACTCGTCTGGCACATAAAAAGCTCATATTAAAACATTCTTTATCAGCAACCACAACCCACTTTAATCTTAGTCGATGGTAAAACATTATATTTAGCAATAATTAGAGCGTTTGTTTGCAAAAGATGAAATCGAAAAGATGCACAAAAAGTACCTCCGTCGTTTTGTTTTCCATAACCACTAACGCCAACGGTCGAAAAGAAATGTTTGTAATTATAGAACATAGTCCCAGAATGCGCCGACCATTTTACACGAATATACTTGGAAAATTTCATTTGTCATAGAATTCTTTAGCTACGGGGCTCTGAACATATCTTCTGTGGGTATTTTCATATGGATTTGGTTGTAACAGTTTCCAAATTACTTTTACAGTTTCTTTTAAAACTAGTGCTATTGTACTCTGACCCATTCGAAAAGTAAAAACTATTTAAATAAGTTCGTCGGCCAGCGGTTGCCATTTAACCTTATCTGGTGTCTAAACCACTGTAAACCTCTTACTCAAAGTAAGAGGTTTACAGTGGTTTCTGTCTATCACTGTTGATGTTGTTTTCATTCGATTTCGAATTTCGTCATTAGTTATTCGTTGCGTTCTTGACGCCCTGGCGCTTTTTCTCAAATAGTCCATCTCGACCGCCTGAAGCCGTCTTTCTAGATCTGTGCATACTACCCATATCTGACTACCACAGCTCAGGACTGACTCTACTAGTGTTCTTCCTAGTCTGTTTTTAGTTCCTCTTCTTATGTTCTTGTCCCACCATAGACTATTAAGACATTCTATAATTCCTGCTTTCAGTTATTCTATGGTTTATCTCCCTTTCACCTATACCATTCTTTTCTACAATTACTCCCAAATACTTAAATTCCTCAACTTGATTAATTGTCGTGTCGTCATTAATTAATATTAGAAATTTGGCATCGTTATTAATCACTAGATGTTCTTCCTATTTTAAACTTATATGCATCCCCCACTTCTTATTTTCGGTGTATAGTCTCTTTATCATAAATTCTAAATCATATGCCACTTGCGCCAAGTCTACCTGGTCATCTACAAAATCGTAGTGAAAAAAGTCGGTGGTTATTTATTGGTAATCCCATTCTTTGGACGTTTCTTTTCCACTCTTTCAGGACAACTTCTACATATGCGTTAAAGAGCATCAGCGATAAGAGAGCTGACATTCCTTTTTGATGAATTTGGATGAATGATTTATCAATGTTCGATATATCATATCGAAATTTATAGTTGCCACAAAGTCCAAAGGTAATTTAAACTTATGCTATCACATTTGTGTATTGCAAAAGTTTTTTTTTTCAATTTTCGAATATAATTTTTGAAATTATTACCATAATTCTTTAAAATCAAGGATATATTTCATCTATAACGTCCGGAATTCGGGTAACTCCCGGATTTCACCCCCACATTTTTTTACCTACATACGGGGCGGTTAACGTACAGGTAGAAAACGTAATAAATCAACCCCATTTACAAAACGATCCCTATTTCCCGGGTGTAGCCTCTAAATCGCCGTTTCTAAGTAGCATGAAACTTGGAAAAATGTACCCATAAATCATCTCTGGGCCAAAAGGGGCACTTTACACGCCTAAATAAATACATTTCCAGTCCAACTTAGAAAAAATCACTACAACATATTTCAAACCTCAAAACGAAAAATAATTCCAATCCGTGTTATCGTATCAACTAAAATTTGATTTTATAAGCTTTAAAATGATTTAAACTTTAAATTTAAATTAAGTTCTTAACACACAGCGACATCTATCCGCAAATTTATACAACGTCGTACAGGAAAAGCTATTTTTGAATTAGTACCCCGGTAAATATCGCGGTTTAACCACGTGTTTGCAAATACCAATTGTTACAAAACAATCTTATCAGTGTTAATAGAAACGAACTTGAAACCATCGAAAGAAATGGGGAAAAAAGCCCACACGAGGCACGTACCAAAACAACAAACCAAACACCGAGCAGCACATAACCTTACTTTCGCTAACGAACTCGAAACGCAAATCGATATCCTTCTTAAACTCACCACTCAAACCCCAAATGCGAACGTTAACAAAGAATTTGAAGCCGTAAAAGAAATTTACGCGGTTCTAGACAAGATAAGAATATTAGAAAATAATATCGATAGTAAATATTTCCGCGATGATCGAAGTAGGTTGGACGTCGCCATTTTAGAACGGTTTGGAACTTGGCTAAAAGAGTTTGGCGCCAAATTTGAAGGAACAGCTATAAAAGAATTCGACGGTTATGATTTGGGTTTAAAAGCGGAAGTTGATATCCCGGTCGAATCTTTAATTATAGCCGTACCAAGAAAGCTGATGTTAACTGTAGAAGCGGCTAAAAAATCTGGGTTAGGTCATTTAATCGAAAATGACAAAATCATGCAAAATATGCCGAACGTTGCTTTAACAATTTACCTACTTTTTGAGAAATTTTCTCCGGATTCTTTCTGGGAACCGTATTTTAATATACTTCCGCAGAATTACTCAACCGTTTTATACTTTAATTTAGAAGATCTCGAGCTATTGACGGGATCTCCGACGTTCAAAAGTGTTTTGAATCAAATAAAGCACATTTCTAGGCAATACGCGTACTTTCATAAGATGATATCTACAGCTCAGGATTCCGCATGCGAGGTATTAAGGAAAAGATTTACGTTTAAAGAGTACTGGTGAGTATAATATAGAAATTCAAAAAAATATTATTTTTTTGTAATTATTGTTTTGTTAATTTGGATATTATTAATCATAATGACCATAACATTAATCAGATAAAAAGAAGGAAGCAGAAAAATAGGAAAAGGAAAAAACAGGGTTAAAAATATAATTGAACGAGTTGTTACAGTATATTTTTGCCCCCGAATGCGTTTAATATTCATTTAATTTAAGTTCTGCTGCAGCATGCGCCAAGTTTCCATGTAATGTAGAAACATTTGTTAGGGATGTTTGCAATTATTCTTTGACAGTATTAGAATAGAGAAACTTTCTCAATTATGGTTTTTAAAACTTGCTTTTTAGAGTTATTGTTAATTGCCAAATAATATAACAGCGTGGGATAAATAAATCTACAACACTTAAGGGATTCATTTAATGCGTTATGGATTTGATTCCAGTATAGAATGAATATTCATGAATAGTATATCTTAATATTAGGGACCGTTGGTTCATCCAAGATGGATTTTTTTTATATGCAAGACGGAGATAGCCATAAACAATATTAACATATCGAGTCCGATAAGAACTCCTTTCCAATTTGGGTTGGGTTGGAAGTGTAGGATTTGTTTAGTAAGGCATCCTATCGGAATCTAATCCTATCTATCGCAGGAATCATGAGGCTAGACTGCATCAGCTTTTATTATTTTGCACGTCGGTGCTACATACGACTTGGGTTGTGAACATCTTCAAGTAATTTACGATAGGAAATTACTAGAATTGTGGCGGACAAGTTTATGTAATGGTCGGAAAATCTTACTAATTTGATTCTCAATCATTCCTACATCAACTTTGCATTAGTCCGAGACAACTCTGTTTAAAATTTATATCATCGTTTTATCGAGTCCTCAAAGTGTTTTGGCAAGTCAAGTGTACATCAAACTACATCTATGAGTTTACTCTACTAAATACAGCCCTAGGGTTCTATCAAGGCATCCATTACTTCAAAACACCATCAAGATTACATTTCTTTATCGGGTTTGCATCAAAACTGCATCTAGGAGTGAACAAGACTCCTTCAAAACAATGATATCTCGATACAGTCTTTATTAAATTTGCATCAAATGTACTTTGACGTCCTTATCTTGACTTATATAACGTATATAGTTCCATCCATCAAGATGCAATCTATAAATTAACTGCATCCTCTTGATAGATGCTTCTGCCTTGCTTGTTAGCTTTTTACTTCAACTTTCACATTATTACTATATGTATACTTACTCATTGCTCCAGTATACACTGGAAAATTACATATATCGCAATATGCTTTATTGACTTATTTCCACTAATTCGGAAATAAAAACCTGAGTCCCCTTCAGCAACTTTTTCACTTTGTAGACTATCAATGTGATTATCGTCAAACATCGTGATTGACACCTTTTCTTTCATTTGCGGGCAGAATTAATTTACTGCTACCATTTGAAAAAAAGTACTGCAGAATCGCATCGAATGCTTATGGAAGCTTAGGATAAAACAACTCGCGGATCGATTAAATGTGACACGACAAGCCGTTTCCATGCGTTTGAAAGTCATGGGAAATATCCAGAAGATGTAAGAATCTATTCCAAATAAAATGAATGAAAAACAGCAGGAAAACCGAAAAAAACGTGTGAAATTCTGCTCACCAGGTACAAAAGAAAATCATTTCTTCATCGAATTGTGACTGACGATGAAAAGTGGATCCATTTTGAGACTCAAGGCGAACCCATAACCAGAATCGACATTGGCTGTAAGGCCAAATTATTATGCACGGCAAATAATGTTGTGTATTTGATGGTATGACAAGGTTGTGACTTGTAATATTTTGAAATATATCTTATTAACAATTAAACCAACGCCAACCCATGTTATCCACGCCGAAAACCAACTCTAGACCAAATCACAAACCCCAACCCAATTCCACACAATCTATCCACACCCAAAACAGTATATTTACTTTGAAACCAAATGCAACCTCAGTTGATTAAGGTTCAATTCTAGCTGATACACACACACTGAAATGAGATACAACATAAATTACAGCCACGATAGTTCAAAAACGGTAATTACTCGTATGATGCAAAGTGGTGAAATCCGGGCGAACCACCAACATTGGCGGTAGAGCCAAATCGTTATGGAGGAAAGACAATGCTCTGTGTTTGGTGGGATCACCAAGGTGTGATCTATTATGTGCTGCAAAAATGACTCGATAACTGGTTTGTCTCAAAAGAGCAACAGTTTTTTTGGCGTTGCATGCTAAAATTGTCAGGCAGAAGAGGAAAATGTATATCTAGTGATTTTCATACAACAAACTTGTATTTTCTACACAAAAATTCCGGTTTCATAATTACACACCTAGTAAGCAACAAAATTTTACAATAAATAGACGTGATTTGAGTTGTCCTTAAGATGATTAGAAAGTCTTTAAGGTTGCTTTTCTTATCACACATACACCAATTCTATTGGCACTATCAATCCTATCGATGTTGAATGAGAAGCTTGTGATATATAAGATGTCACGAAAGTACCATTTTAGAAGGTTAAGCATTTTATCTTCTTCAATACCATGGCAATTAAGAAACAAATCTGAACATAATCACCAATCTGAACCCGGATCTGAACCCGGATCATAATATAAGATGCAGGATTGAACAAGCTAGAACAACCTTTCTAAGATTTCGAAAATTTCTTACGAACAAGAACCTGAATTTCAGCCTCAGGTATAGGATGGTAAAGTACTACGTCTGGTCCGTTCTCCTATATGGGGTTGAGAGATGGGCGTTTGCGAATCGAAGCCTTCGAAATGTGGATCCTGCGGCGAATGTTTAAGGTGTCTTGGGTCGATCACCTAAGTAACGAAGACGTTATCTGAAAGGTACCATTTTCAACGCCCCATTCTCCAGGAAAAATTGAGAGAGGAAAAAGAGGAATAGGTAGAAAAAGATTATCGTGGCTATAGATTTCCAAACATTACAGAATGCTGCACATGATAGAACCATCTGATAGGAAAAGCGATGAATACATACGCAGGAATGCATGGCACTTTAAGAAGAAGAACATTAATTCTTTAAACGTACCAAAATCTATAATTAGTTATGCTAAACTACAGGATTCATGTTAACTTTGTTCAAAGAATAAGCATAAACATTTTTTTTCCAATTGCATGCATTTCATACAGCTTTGTTCCAACAAGCGGTCCGAGTCGTCGTGTACTCATCAAATACAATCGCACATATCAAATAATGTCGTCACATTTCAGCGGATTTCATTGCATTATTGAACATATGCGATTGCATTTGACGAGTAGCTTTGGAACAAAGCTATTGTAAACAATTTCAGACATCAACAAATCAGTTTTGTCATTTAAAACCGGCTTAGACATAAATTTTAATTTATTTTGATTGAAAAAGATTTTATATCATAAAATTTCAACGTTTTAATGAATGTGTTTTTATACTCACTAATTAATTCATGAGATGACCCAAAACATAACGATTTACGTGGCCGTATTGAAATAGACCTTTTAAATATTTAAACCCGGTTTGAATTTTAAGTTTAATTTATTTTTATCGGATGAACTTCAATAAATACTAGGTACTCCTATAAATAAAATACGAAACACTATTAATTTTAAATTACAAGTGAAATATGAAATATAAAAACAAATTCGTGTATATTTACAAATATTTTATTATTTATTTTATTTATTTACATATCTAATACACGTTTTTTCTTGATAAAAAAAATAATGGAAAAAAATGTTTTGGCAATAAATAACGATGCAGTTTATTAATTAAGTGTAAATACGAAACGAATGCTTTTTTAAATATTATTCCCAATTATTATTAAATGGTAAATTTTACCTTTCCACACATATTTTTTTTAATAATCACTCTTCAATAAGAAGTCTTTAATTTTCTTATTCTAAATCCTTAAATACAACATTAAATTCGTATTGCACTAGAAAACACACAAATACTTATAAAATAATTCATCAAAAATTATACATAGTGTATCAAAAAAATATTTTTTTTTATCACTGGAAAGGTTTTTTATCATTTTCCCACGTATCTGACATACTTTGTAAGTGCTGTTTGTAAAAATGTTTTTTCCTACCCAAAGTTTCCGACACGAAAGTTTTAAAAGTTCTCTTCTGCCCATCTTCTAATATAGAATTGAATTTTGTGCAGCTAAAACTCCCGTTGTAGCAGAGTCTCCGTTTATGCTTTTGGGACCATTTAAAAATAACCAAAATGGTTACGAATATAAATAAGGACACTCCAATAATAAGTAAACTAGCTAGAATCGCATGTTTAACGCCGTAAGGAAGTTTTATAAAAATATTTCCTTCTTCATCTTGCAACTTATCACGTTCATCAATATTTAATTTTTCGTTACCATTTTCCGATATCGAATTAGAACTGATTTCGTCGTTGACGGTTAATACATCTTCGATTTCATCAAGATTTTCAACCGTTCCTTTTTGATGCGTGCTATGATAAAGTTTATCGTAATCTTTCCATATCGTTTCTGATATAACTTCTTTGTATTTTTTATCCATTTCAATTTTATACGTTGGAAAACTGGTTATGGTGTATTTACTTTTATCTTGATTTTCTTCCAAGTTTTCTTCATCTGAACTTTCGGTGGTTGATTTTTTCGTTGTGATAACGACCTCCGTTGGTCGTCGACTTTTCGGCACCCTTTCCGTCGGTTTAAAATGAACAAATTTTCCGATAAAAACTTTTTCAGGTTCGGGTTCTTTAGTTTTATTGTGGAAAAGATCTGCAAGGTGTTTTTGACTCGATCCTCGTTCCCGCAACTCAACTAAATCATCAATAGTCATATTACGATTTGTTAATATTTTTGTTAAACTTTCTTTCGTGTTTATATCTTTTAAGATTTCGAAAATTTCATCTTTGGCTGTTATTGCTGCGATTTTTTCGGGGATTCTTTCGGTTGTTCGAATTAATCCGGTTGTTCTTAATAATTCGATCGTTTTTATTGCTTCAGTTACATCTTCAAATTTATTTTTTTCTTCTGAAACTTTATTAAGATCGAACGACATTCTTAGTGGTTCGTCTTCTTTTTTAGTTTCTTTTGGGGGCCCCATTAAGATGTTTAAGAGTTCACTAACTGGAATGCTGTAAGGTTTTGGGGGTTCCGGAGTATGTGGGGAATTATTTTTATTTGGGATAATTCTCGGGATTGAATATCGATTTAATTTCGCGTTTGTAACCGGTAATCGAATTGTTTGTGATGTTTTGGGCGCTTTCGTCGATGATTCTGCATGAGATGTTGATTCCCGATAAAAATCATTTCCAAATTCGTTTATATTCGGTTTGTAGTCAATTACGATTATGTTTCCTAATTTATTCGGTTTTTCTTGGTTATTCGAAGAAACATTAACGTTATATTTGAGGTTGTTTTGATTTATAAACAAACTTTGCACATTTACTTCTTTAACAATTTCGGGTTTTTCGGGAGGTTTCGTTATAATTTCGATTTCGTGTTCTTCTTCAACGGGATTTTTATATTCAGTTATACTTTCAACTTCATTCGTTTTCTCGGTTAAAGCATAAAGTGCTTTCTTTTCGCCATTCAAGAGGTCCGATAAAGTTAAATTCCTTTTCTGTAAAATTTCGCTTAAACTTCCAGCTTGTTTTAATAACATTTTTAAATTTAAAGCTTCATTGTCTATTAAAACACCTTTTTCGGTTTGAGTGCCTTCTTTTACGTCATCTTTTTCGATGTGGGGTTGATAAGTTGGGATAATCCTTCTTCGTTTGTAATTAGTTACACGTTCTTCATGGATCATTTCATTCCACATTTGTTGTTCTTCTAGCTGAGGTCTTCTTCTTGTGTTAGTTGGGAGAGTTTTTTCTTCTTCTTGATTTTGTTGAGTTTCCGTTAACGAAACCATGGGAGGGCGACGTTTTCTTTTTCGTATTCTGCGCCGTTTTGGGACTTCACCATCTTTAGGTACAGTTTCCGGTTGTGGATTTAATTCGGGAATCCATCCGCTTGTATCTAAAGGCACAGGATCAACCGCCTTCCATTTCTGGAATTAAAACATAAATTGTTTAAGTATCTAATGAGTTTAGAATTGATGTTATAGAATTAGAGATGTAATAAGGAATGAAATGTGGTTCTTTAGCAACATGATTGTATATTACGGTAATGTCATCATTATTTAAGGTGAAATCCTCGCCTAAGAAACTTCCTGATTACTTGTTCGTAGTTGGGTTTATTACTACATACATGGATTTCTTGTTTATTTGTTTTCTTCGCGGAGAAAAGAAAATGTAGGGTTTAAAACTCGACAGATGTGGAACTGGGAATGGTTTTTGAAAATCGGTTTTATCGCCTCAACTAAAACCGAACTCTTGCTTTCACTGTGTAAGAATCGAGTCGAAAAAGGAAAACAAGTACGCTAACTCAAGAGGCTGGCCATATGGTTTGGCGCAAAAACTCTCCGGTTATAAATATTAACTTAAATTAATCGATCCCACCCAACTTTTCTCTCCGAGAAGAGAAAGAATTTCTCTTTCGAAGTTTCCGAAAACTTTCTCCCTAATCATCAATCCAACTAATAACCTTGAAACAAACTAGTAATTTAAAAAAGATTTTTTTAAATTAAATCTCTTAGTATAAAGTTATTTATGGCATTATTTCATTATTTGTTCAGTGTCTAAAGAGTTACATAAAGAATTTCAATGAGGTAGTCTGGAATTTGAATTGTGATGAGTTATTCTTGAATGGTTTGTTTGATTGTTATCGTTAAACGACGATGAAGAAGAAAATGTTACTTGAGTTAAACTTTCTCCGAGCTTTAAGTGTTATTCATTACGTAATGCTTTAGTAAATAATTCCTTTTAAGATATCTGTAGAAACTCATTTATTTTGAATTCTAGTTCTAGTGAGGTCACTTTAAAGGATTCAACCTAACCCAGACTTGTAAAACTACACTCATTGAGTTCAGTAGGTTCGCATCGACGCTAGCAGCAAAAAGACAGAAAGAAAGAGAGACCCAGTGGTCTTGTTAGAAGAGTTCTACATCCTTGTTGCGACCTCCCAAGTTAAACGGAAGTGTCGGAGCCGGTGATAGACCGAATGGCTTCTAAGAAAAAGAAGAAGCCCGATAAATACGTCGTGACGGATAAAAAAATACGAATTCTTCCGGCTCACCATGCCGTTTTATGGGCGGGTTTACCTGCTTTGCCGCTCGAAACAAGGTTTCGTATCGTCTATTTAGACCTGCTTTTAAAAGAGTAGAACGAACGCAGTGGGATTACGCAAGAACTAATCGACTCCAATGAGCTATGTATTGGATGTAAAAAAATAACAACGTTGAAGCCGGTGTATAAATGTGTGGTAATGGTTTTGTTGGTGATCAAAGTTAAAAGGAATTTTCTTATTTTTACCTATATATTTAATTAGATCAGTTTTCAATGAATTAATTTTTTCACTTTGATAAACTTGATGAAATAAAAGTGAAAATTAGAAAATAGAAGTTAGAAATCATGATATTAATTAAACCTCTCGAGAAAAATGTGTCAGTGAAATTTCTCATCACAACACCAAAACAGCCGTTTAAAAAAATTAAATCTTTACAACCTAGATTGATAGATAGAAATTGTTCGTTTTATTTCAAAACGAATTACACACACACAACCCAACCCACGTATCTTAACAATAGATTTGCGTCTTGCAAACGTTGCGAAACAGCCGAACGATAAAAATTCAAGAATAAATGACCAGCACTGGCCTTAGAGAACAGCGCTAATTTATTTCTAATTTCAGTCTACAAACCGTGAACACTAAAACCTCTTTCAGAAAAAGCACGTTTGCAAACCACATGTTAAGAAGCTAAAACAACCTAAAAACAACCGTCTTAACCAACATTCTCTAGCCAGATGTTCCAATTGCACAAGAATTTTTTGAAAAAAGTTGATTAATCTTGTTTAGTAAAAAAATATTTTTACTAGAAGATTTATTGTAAAGATAGTGTCACGAATGAAATTGGCCGTGGTAAATTTGCATGCAGAATCGATTCGAGATAACTCTGAGAAGTCTTCGTCGCGTCGGGCAACTCCTCCCCAAACCGTTCATAAAGAAAAATAAGCACGTATTCGCGGTCTTACTCGTACATACGCTAATCTCGTTTGTGTGTACAGACATCGAGTGTATTGTACATCCGCTGAAACCCATCGTCGTTCCAGACTCATGTTAAATTACCGGCATCCTTTCTTCATTTAGCAACGCTTACTATACATGGAAAAACAATTTTGATGGCTTAAAAAATTCTTCGAAAAGATAACCATTTATAGACTTATTTTATCATGTTACAGACTTAAAAAGAGTTTCAAATTATAAAAATAAAAAGTGAAATCTCTTCCTGGTTTTAAACTCAAATCTCCATCGATGCAATTAGCAATGATCGATTTAATTTCAATTTAGAAGCAATTTCTTATGGTTTTCTAAGAATTTCTCTTTTTCTCTTATTTCTCGAGTATGTAATAACGTGCTAATTTTGTTAAGTAACAATAGGAGTCGTGCATTGCACAAATTCACGTGTAATTATATAAAAAATAACTTGTGTAATATTAGAAAATTATTTAATCCTTCTTTTATAAATCATTTATATATTTCAATTATTTGTATCTAATATGTTTCGAATACAACCTAAATTAGAACTACCACAAGATTTTAATATTTACAAGAATCCAAATACGGAATAACCAATCATTGAAAGTGGAAGTTTGTGTCAAAACATCTCCTTGATCTTGACTATCTAGAAATAAAGTGTCGGGTTAGGGTTTGTATTTCTTCACGATACCCGATCTCATATATGTTGCGCATTGAGATCTGATGATCTGTTGCCAATGAGAGGTTATATAGGTCTTTCCAAGAGTGTACTAAAAAGCTAGTGGTTGCTTGGAGATTTTCTGTTCAGCTTTGGATGATTTTCTTCTGCACCATTTTGAATCTAGAAAAGGACCAGAAAGGTATATCGATAAACATTTTCACGGACAGAAGGGGCCGCCCTAAAAGCAATTCAGGTCTACACGTGTCAATCCGCACTGATTGGAGAATGTACTGGCAACCTGAGAGGCCTAGCTAGGGACAATGACGTTACTCTATACTGGGATCCAGGTCACAAAGACATCGAGGGCAATGAAAAGGCGGACAAGTTGGCCACCTTTCCATTATTTTCTTTTTGCCAAGCCACCCTTAAGTTTTATATAGGTTTACATGAATACTTTAGCTTTATGTAATCAACATTTTTAGTGCATCGTAACCAAAATAAAGACGCAAGCAATCTTTATATGTTAAAAATCTTTTGAATAAACCGCCCAAAAATTGAGGCATCTATTTGGTCTTGTCGTCTTCAACAATTGCTACTGAATAACGGAAGTTTTTCGTTTTCATCGAAATGAAGGCTTTTTCAAAGATAATCTAGATGGCAAGCCATTATTCATTTCCTCCTCTTTTATTTTATGTTGGCAGTGTTGTAAGGTGTTCCAAGTAATTTGTTAAAGTAAGTTAACAAATTTGTTACAGAAAAGTAAGGAAAATCAGATGACATGGATAAATTGCACCAAAAAATTGTATACCTCAATCCCCTTTGTTAAAGTAAATTCCAACGATCCCTGAAATGCCCTAGTTTCTATAAAACCATTTAAGTACACAAAAATATTAAACCATGATATTATTACATTCTAACATATGAAATGCGACTTGAAAAGAGAAGAGTACACTACTAAGGAGAGCAGATTGAAAAACAGGGTGATGAGTACCAAAACAGTGGTCATGATTAAAAGGAGAGATGAGAAGAAGATATGGATTGATGATAAGAATCTCAATAAGAATCTTCTAAAGATGTTAATCTGTATAGAAATTGCTCAATGGGATTGTTGATTTGTTTGAAATTTTGCTCAGAGTTAATTTCAAAAAATGCTATGACGGTGTGCTAGTATTCTTTCTGAACACCGGCTTCAGACGCAATTGCAAGAAAATCCTTTAACTAAGCCTATTGAAACTGTCGAACAAAACATATTCCAAGAAATGCTGTTCATCGTACTATGGACATTATTTATATGTGTTGGACATTGACTTGTATGTGCACATACACATACAAGTCATTGTCACAAGTGGTATACAGTGGTCAGTGTAGGATTTAGAAGTGCATGTCTCGCCACACCCACCTTGTTCACATCAGCCAGTATAAAAATTTTTCAAAAGCTAAGGTTTCACTCAAAGGCGTGTGTGAATATGTAGTTAGCCATTCTTCTCCAAGGATCCTCATTCTGAGGTTGGTCGGAAAGGGGCAAACACACTTGTGTGTATTTTATCGTATTGTTCAAAATCTCGACAAAGAGGGACATCATTTACCAACATTTCCTACATAGGGTTTCGCTGTGGATATAAATTGATCAGAGACTGTAACTTGTCAATTCAAGAAGTTTTGTGGGAAATGCGCTTAATCGATTCTATATGAGTAGCTAAAATGATGGTGTTTTTAATGCTAAAACAAAAAGTCTAAATAGTAATTATCGCGATCATTGGAATTAATATATAGTCAGCAGTAAGTTTTATATGCCCCTAATGATTTAGAAAATCAAATTTGAACATTATCGGAACATCATTTCGCCTTGGTGAACCATCAATGTAGATTTTAACGTTTTTATGTATTTCTGTGGAACTACTGTAGATTAGGTATTTGTTATTAAGCTGTTGCCAAATAGGTTATCAACTCCACGATCTGAATATGTAGGTTTAGTGGTTGTAAATTTACCATAACTTCTGCATTAAGCAATATTATGAGACAAAATTCCACCATTAATTAATTTAGAGTTACAGTTGTTACACGAGTGTTACAGACGATGCTTCAAGAGAAGCCCTGGTTGTGTTGAAGAAATTGCCAAAATCAAGAGTATTCTCAATTCACTCATGACAACCTCTACTACATATCTGCAATTATTCAAGAGCTAATCGAGAATTTCTCTAATAATCATTTAGTCAATAACTATTTTTTCAAGGCAAATCCTGTTTGAGCATCATATGTTTGAGTACACAAGTCCTAATATTAATCAAATTGATTAAAATTCACTTAGCTTTTATTGATTTTATTAAAAAAGATTTGCTGTCAAAGTAATGACTAGCAAAATTCGTTTAATTACAGTTGATAAGATCTCTTAAAATGACTTGCTTTTTAAAATTACGTAAAATTTAAGAAGATCGGATGGATATTATATTGACTCCGCCAAGATGTAATGTGTTTTATTTCAAAATAATATAAAAAAATACTTAAATCATACATAAATAAACTAGAAAAGGTGCCCAAAGACTATAAGTTGCTTTACTAAACACTTTTTTTTGATGCTCCAAACAAATAAATTTCGCACATCTGGCACTTTTAAACCTAGATTTTCGGACCATAGCTGTAGGGCAGAAAGATCACCGTCCTGATGTGGATTCTAAATATAGCTGATAGTTTCACGGAGTTCTCTTCTTAAGGTTGCCTTTTCCAAACGTCTTAACATCTGTGGTTTAATCATATCTAAAGCCAATTTTTTAGCTAAGATCTTAGGTTTTGCAATATTTCTTTATCATCTGCAGCATTCCCTCTCAACAGAACCTTAGAGTTGTATCCAGTTTAGCCACGACGACTTTTGCATGTGTTCACAGCATAGAGGCTATCTCAGCTTGATGTTTAGGAATGATGGAGGAATCTCTCTTTTATTTTTTCTGAGAGTGCCCACTACTGTAATTTTCTTTTCTAAAAGATTCTTTGCTATATCTATGGACGTGAACCAATTGTCCATTGTTAAGTTCCATGAAAAGAAGATGTGAGTTTTTCGCAGTAATACTGAGCCACTGGGATATTGCCATAATATTCCATTACATAAATAGAAAATCTTAGTCGTTGAATACACAACGGTTATGCTACACTGGGCTGAGTCTATACCCCAAAGGTTACCTATTGCCTCTTCGAGGGTAATAATCGTGCTGATGTGTTCCTACCTTAACGTTAACTGTTGACTTTTTTCAAAATGCATTAGAAAATCTGGGGTACAGATATACCTCAAATAGCGTTCTAGAGTTAACAATATAGCATAAAACATTATCATTTAACCTTAATCTTTAAAGAAAGAGGAAAATCTGATTTAACGACCCTGTTCTAACGATCCTAAAAAACAAAACATACAAAGAAGATTAGTTTTTACTAATCTTATGTTTGTGAGAATCATTAGACAATAGAAGACGATTAGCGGAAATGAGACCGTCGGTGTCAATTCTGAAATTCACAACTAATCACCAGAACTCTCATTCATACTTAAAAATTTTCTCTTCCCGTTTTTTAAACTAGGTAGAATTTAAAGAATTTCAATTTTCCACCCTTAACTTTAATACTTTTTGAATTGTTGATGTTTAATTTTAAAATAAATCAACAGTGATATAAAAACCTTGACATTGTTTTGACCGTAAGAAAGGTCGCGGAATCATGTTAATAAACCGTCAATATATCAGTTTCAAAGCCGAGGAGAATCACAAGCTGTAGATTTCTATGTGTGTACTCAACAATCGCGTAGAAAGTCAACTCTGAGTTTCTAAAACGCGGTTTTCGCCAACACGGTGTGTACAGACGGTATAGAAATTTCCTTCGAAACGCGATCCGCGAATCGATAAATATAAACCATTTTAAAAGAATTTTAAAATAGGTTTCTAATACCTGTATTAAGAAATACAAATATATATTGCGGTTACAAAGTTAATAACCTTTTTACATTTTTCATTTAATTAAGTAACATGATAATTTCAAAAAATAATCTATTATTTAAAATTACCTACATCCGTTAATTTTTTCATTTCAAATCTTACTAATAGAAGTGATTAATAATATATAACGAGAATCGGAGTTAATTGTATAACTGTCCTTCCTGTATATTAAGGACTCATGAATAATAATTAATTTATTGTATAACTCTTATAACTCTGCTCTTAGAGTTTAGTTATGACATTATAAATGCACAGTTACGGTTAGCTTTTTGAATAACAAGTGGAATAATAAGGTGTTCTTCGTTCAAAAACAACTTATTATTCAAGAAATAATAAAGGGATTTATTCTTTTCCCTTTTTTTTTTATTTACAATCTCACTTTAGTATTCATCGCCCACATCATAATCTCAATTTTTATCTCAAACACTTAAAGTGTGTTTGAACAACGTCTACGTGTTTCTTCATTTCAAATTCGACAAAGCTCTTTTGTTGAAATGTTTAATGCATTTGACTTTGTCTACAAGGACTTTTTAGAAATCATCAAACGAATTTCTATCTTGTTTAATTTCCGATATCATTTCCGATTTCTAAATAAACAAGAAAAACCTTTTATCTTTATTTTTCTACCTGATCCAAATAAATATGTTTATTTTTGAACTTACATTATCCATATTAAATTCATCTTTTAAAGCTCGAGAGCTTTCGAATGTCGGTAAGGCAACGTCAATTTCTTCTGACGAAGAAGACGTTCCGATTTGGGCGACACAAATAGCACATAAAAGACAAATCACTTGAAAATAGAGTTTTTTGGAAACTAAAGTCATCGTGCCACACACTCACTGTGTCTATTTTAGTGAACGAACTATAAAAAAATGTTTAAAAATTCTAGGTTTAAGTTAATGTTGAGCTTGATGTGCGCGTTACGCGTTGACGGCGACGTACACACAAAGAAAAGAACTGGTAAAATGACAACAGAACCATGTGCTGCTCGGTTTCTACCACTGGCTCTCGTTGCTCGTTGCCCACCTTTCACCAGAACGCGCTTTAACAACACTTTTTAGGTGGGGGGATAACTTTTTGGAATTATATTTTCTTCTTAAAGAGTTCATTAACGGCACTAATTTTGATAACGATTTAAAAATATTGTTTTACGTTGAGAAACACGTTTAAAAAACAATTCGTTTAGGTTTGTTACTTTTAAACTGTCGAATAAAAAATAACAATCAACAAGTTGTTTGGGTTGAACCTCGAATTAAAGATAAAGTAATAACAACCACGCGAGTTTTTTTTTATTATTATTTTGACAATGAGGAAACATTAGTTTAAAACTAATTGGTTTAAAAATTTAAGAAAGTCGTTTAGTTGGTTTTCTTTTACAATTAACAACTTCCCGAAAAGATTAACGTTCTTTTTTAATTATTATAGTGTTCATAACGAAGTCTTAAAACTGTTAATTATTAAACAAATGGTTTTATGAACCGGTATAAATTCTAAAATTACAACAAAAATTAATTCGTCTATGCTTGGCCCATTCACTATCCCTTCAATTTTGCGTCAGTCTTATTAATTTCCCATTTTTGGCTTCTTTTTGAACCAGTCATTCGATTTTAGAAATAATAGGCGTCATACATTTGGGCAAAGTCTTTAAAGTTTGTGTTTTTTATTTACTTAGCTGAACGTTTCTGATTTTTATGCCAACAAGATGAACCTTTTAAATAATAAGGATGTTGTGGTGGAAGTTATACGATAAAATATTGCTCATTTAGCTTTTTTATTTCTTCCAAAGAATGTAAGTTCGTATATTTGCAGAGTTTAAGGCTTTGATTCTCAAAGAGTCGCTGAATTTCTTCTTCAGAGATCTTTGTTTAAGCAAAATTTTTCGCTTTTGTAACTCACTGAACAATATTTTTCTTCTTTTTTTCTTTGCCGCGACATTTTTCTCATTTCTTCGTTCCAGTTAATGGTAGAACTCGAGATTCTGACATATTACAGAAAAACTTTTACAACAAAGGATGTAGAAAATCTTATTCTAAACAATATTGCTCTCTTGCACTTCTGCTTTCAGATGCGTCAATATCGAGAAAAAACGAAAATATTAAAATATGACGAATATTGTTGCTTTTTCAAGATATTAGTGGTAGCACCCGAGAATCAGAGCATCTTATAAAAAAGCTTTTAGAATAAAAGTTGTAGCAAATTTTATTCTACATAATACTGCTCTCTTACACTTTTGCTCTCAGATGCATAGATATCGAGAAAAATACGAAAATATGAAAATTAGATGAATTTATTAGTTGATGGTAGAGCTAGGGATTCGAGACATATTACAGAAAAGATTTTAGAACAAAAGTTGTTGGAACTTTTATTCTAAACAATATTGCTCTTTTTTACTTTTGCTCTCAGATGCATAAATATTGAGAAAAATGCGATAATATGAAAATATGACGAATTTGTTGCTCTTTCAAGATAATGGTAACACTCAGGATTCGGAGCATGTTATAAAAAAACTTTCAGAACAAAAGTTATTGCAAATTTTGTTTAAAACAATATTGTCCTCTTGTACTTTTGCTTTCAGATGCATCAATATCGAGAAAAATACGAAAATATGATGAATTTGTTGCTTTTTCAAGATATTAATGGTAACACTCGGAAATTGACGCATGTTATAAAAAAACTTTTAGAACAAAAGTTATAGCAAATGTTGTTCTAAATAATATTGCTCTCTTGCACTTTTGCTTTCAGATGCGTCAATATCGAGAAAAAATACGAAAATATAAAAATATGACGAATTTGTTACTTTTTCAAAATATTAATGGTAACACTCGGGAATTGACACATGTTATAAAAAAACTTCTAGAAAAAAAGTTTTAGCAAATATTGTTCTAAACAATATTGCTCTCTTGCACTTTTGCTTTCAGATGCGTCAATATCGAGAAAAAATACGAAAATATGAAAATATGATGAATTTGTTGCTTTTTCAAGATATTAGTGGTAGCAGCCGAGAATCGAAGCATGTTATAAAAAGGGTTTTAGAATAAAAGTTGTAGCAAATTTTATTGTACATAATATTGCTCTCTTGCATTTTTGCTCTAAAAATGCATAGATATCGAGAAAAATACGAAAATATGAAAATTAGATGAATTTATTAGTTGATAGTAGAGCTAGGGGTTCGGGACATATTACAGATAAGCTTTTAGAACAAAAGTTGTTGGAACTTTTATTCTAAACAATATTGCTCTCCTTTACTTTTGCTCTCAGGTGCACTAATATTAAGAAAAATGCGATAACATGAAAATAAGACGAATTTGTTGCTTTTTCAAGATAATGGTAACACTCGGGACTCGGAGCATGTTATAAAAAAATTTTCAGAACAAAAGTTATAACAAATTTTGTTGTAAACAATATTGCTCTCTTGTACTTTTGCTTTCAGATGCGTCAATATCGAGAAAAATACGAAAATATGAAACTATGACGAATTTGTTGCTTTTTCAAGACATTAATGATAACACTCGGGAATTGAAGCATGTTATAAAAAAACTTTCAGAACAAAAGTTATAGCAAATATTGTTCTAAACAATATTGCTCTCATGCACTTTTGCTTTCAGATACGTCAATATCGAGAAAAATGCGATAATATGAAAATTAGATTAATGTACAAGTTATTAATGAATCAATGATAGAATTCGGGATTCTTCTCTTTTTAAATGAAATAAATAACCTTGAGATTTTCAAACATTTAAGAATGAATCAGTTGAGTCCATTTTAAGATAAGAACTTCTTGGAAGGATAAATATTGATTTTTCAATATCATTTATTAAACCAATAATAATAAACGGTTTTCCTATTGATAGAAGAATTAGTGTCTATGAAATTATTAAAAATTTGTTTATTGATGGTGCAGTTAACTAAGAAAAATATTATCTTACAAATTCCTTTGAAATTAGTTTAATCACCCAGCAATTTTGAAAAACAACTTCCTTAAAAGATAATTAAACAACATTTTTTAAACTTTCTCTTAGACGTTAACATGGTAATTAATCATTAGCCAAGCGTGCAATGAGTTGTTAAATGATTAATATTAATCCGATCCCATCCCCATGTGTTATCCTTTGGGACGTCATCGTCATGCTCAATCTCGGAACATGCGGGAGAACTGTCTACGTGAATTTTCGAGCGTACACCACGTTTTACTCTTCAACAAAACTAAATGGTTCTCCGTCTATTCCCCTATCTGCCCCCTGTTATTTTAGGATAGTAATGCTAGTGGAAGTGCTTTTGTTGCGTCTTATCTTTAAACTCAGTAGTAGGTTTTACTTTTTTAAGTCGTGCGTCGTTGTAAAATGATAAAAGATTTTGGACATTATTAGAATTGTTTTTAAAGTAACTTATTTAAGTTAGAGATAGCTTTAAAAAAATTTAAATAACCAAATTAATTTGGATTTAGATTTTGTTTGTTGTTTTATGAGGCATATGGTTTTTTCTTTGAAATGGGTGTCTGTTTCTCATCGGCGGTACTGATTTATTTTGATTCTGATAAACCTGAAAGGTTTCCGTAATGAACGCCTTGAGGAGTTTAACCAGGATATCGAACAACCATGATACGCCAAATTTAGCGTTCCGGGCTAATTTACCGTTTCCTATACTTTTCAATATACACCAAGTTTCGTAAAAAATTACCGGATGAGTTCTACTTTTTCTTGTAAACTGATAAAATTAACCAGAATATTTTATCGTTTCTCGTTAACTACCCAAATAAAGGATCCCTGTTTATGGCCTTTTTTCTTTTATCTTTTTTTTTATTTTTTGAATGCAGATATAAACATCAGGTAGATTTCTTTGGCGCCTCACCTTTTCATTCTTATTTTAAATTTTCGTTCTTTTCTTTATCTACTTTTTTGAACCTCCCCGATTGTATACAATAATTAGTCTGAACGGTTTGTTTTAAAAAAATATTTTTGCTTGGAAGGATCTTTTTTTACTTGCTTTCACCACCGAGTACGTTCTGTATAATTGGCGAATCTATGTGGCAAAAGTGGAAATTGCCACGGTCGGTCGTACACTTTCAATTACAAAAGAAACTCATCCCGAAGAGGTATAGTAAAGTTCGACTTTCCCCAACAAACAACAAAAGTTAATTTCAACAAACATCTATTTCTTTCTTCTTCCCGTCTTTTTAATTATATAGTGAAAAATCATTAATTTCAATGCTTAGAGTGTAGCATAACGATTTGGAATAAAAATAAAATGATTTAAAAGAGGGTTGAAAAGCTGGAGTAGATCTTTGGTAGCATTGAATACTTTACCAATCTACTTAATTTTTGCTAAACAGTTTCTACAAATAAAAACTTAACTCGAGCACATTTAGCAAAAGTTGTAGTGTTTCGTTAAGATACTTTTGGAATTTCTTGGTATTTGAATTTCTGGTTTCTAGAACTTGCGATATTTGAATAAAAATGAAATTAATAAGAAAGCTGATAAGATATATTATTTATTGATTTTCTTTCCATTTTATATTCAATGTAAATAAAATTCGATTTTTTGCACATCAAATGGATTACTTTATTTATTTCTTTTTCTCTACCGGTTTTACCACATATTAATTATAGCATCATCAGGAGTCGTTGAGTGTTTCTTTATATGTTTTCATTTTCAAATTACACTGAGAACCTTAGAGAATTGAGATTGGAGAGGATTAAGAAAGTTCTTAAGAACTAACCAATTAAAGTATTCTCCTGATGATGCTATAATATGTGGTGAAACCGGTAGATAAAAAGAAATAAATAAAGTAATCTTGAAGTGCAAAGAATCGAATTTTATTTACACTGATAAGATATGTCAACTTATTTGGATCCAAGATGCAAAATGAACTTTTTTGATGCTGATTTAACTAACGAATCAACTCTAAAAAGAGAATACTTTAATTAATAATTGGTGATATTTCCACAAGGATCCTTCAAGAAATTAATTTTATAGCGAATTTTGAAAGTTATCGATGAAAATTGCAACATCGAAAATTTTATCAAAACTTCAAATATTGTTTTCTCAAAAACTAAAAGTTATTCTTCAAAACGGGTTGGTTCATTGGAAAGAGGACACTTTTGTTAACATTTTGGGAAATTTTCATACTCATATTCCAAGAAATCGATTTTATACGAACTATTAAAATTTATTCGGGGGTAAATACACAAGAGCTTGACTTTTAATCGGATAATTTTATTTTTACACGAAAGTTTTGTTACCATGGAAATAACTCGAAATCAAAAGCATGATAAAATCGCGACAGCTTTAGCTGGAGCGATTTTATCTTTTGATTTTGATTGAGAGTTATTTCCAAAGGGTAACAAAACTTGAGTGAATTAAAAATAAAATTATCCTGATTTAAAATCAAGCTCGAGCGTATTTTAGGGAGATTAATACACGACAATTGCACAATTTATCGACAATTTTTAATTATTTATTAACTATTTTTGACTTAATTATAGTTGTCAAAAATGTGACAGGTAAACAAAAGTATATATATGGTAGTCGCGTTTTAATCAGTTATAAAATATCACGTGTGATTTATTCAGTTGAAAAACCTAGGTAACTTTTATCCACTTAAAAAATCACGTTATTGGTCGAAATATTAAAAGATCATTACTCTGATTGGTTGTATATTATTGGAGTGCATTAATCGGCGAAAATTGCAAAATCCGTAAAAATTGTCGATTATTTCAAAAAATTATTTCTCAAAAACTAAAAGTGATTTTTTAAAACGGCTTTTTGCATTAAAAAAGAGGATATTATCATTAATAATTGGTGATATTTCCACAAGGATCCTTCAACAAATTAACTTTATAGCGAATTTTGAAAGTTATCGATGAAAATTGCAACATGGAAAATATTATCAAAACTTCAAATATTGTTTTCTCAAAAACTAAAAGCTATTTTTCAAAACGAGTTGGTTTATTGGAAAGAAGACACTTTTATTAACACTTTGGGAAATTTTCATACTCTTAATCCAAGAACTGGATTTTATACGAATTTTTAAAACTTAATCGGCGAAAATTGCAAAATTTGAAAAAAATAGTTGATCATTTCAAAAATTTATTTCTCAAGAACTGAAAGAGTAGTTCTCAACTTAAGATTGACTTATGAAATTAGCAAGTTGAGTTCTCTTAAAATTTTAAGTCCTTGTTTCGAGAATTCGCAGCAACAGCTGATTATCACTCTGATACATCTTTTCTAGATCATTTCGCCGAAGAATTTCAGCTTCTGTATTTGTATGTTCTTGTATTTACATTTTCTTGTTCTTCATCTACAGCTTTTTAGCCAATAGCATCATCATTTCTGAATTTGTTTCGACATTTTCAAAAGATCATGTTAATCCTTACTATTTATCGTAATCATCTGGTAATGAATCGGCAAGCATCGATTAAGAAATCAATCGAGTTATCTTCTTCTTCTATGACGCGATAGCCCGATGTCATGCCTTGGCCTCCTTTATTAGGGTTCTCCATTCCTGCCTATCCCTAGCCCTCCACTTCCAACACCTCACACCCAGAACCCCCATCGTGTCCTCTTCCGCAGTATTCCTCCATCTACTTCTTGGCTTTCCGACTCTTCTCGTACCACCAAAATCGCTATTTCATCCTTTATAACGAAGGCCACCCCAAACTCTTCCTGCAGGTTTCCCGCTGTAGCAGATGGTTTCTAATTTTTTTAATGGGGGCACTTGCAGAATCCGAAGGAGTGCTTATTTGCGACTTATCATCATTATGACCTTGTCTAGATGAGCTATATCGATCGTGATCTGTTATGGCATGATTAAGTGGAAAATCTGCTCAAGAGATTACTTCAGCTATTTCTTTTTCTGCTAAATTTAACAAAAGTGCACCTACACAAATATTAATTTCAGTGTATCATGCAACCGTTCGATCATATACCTCATACACCATAACTGCTTGGAGACATACTAAAAATCATTGTTAAAATAGATCAAGAGAAAGTTTTACTCAGCTAAGAATCATCACCTTCCTATCCCATTATATTTATAATTACATGTTTTATGTTTAAAGCTAATGAACGGTTGTATGGCACACAGTGTATATAATTCCTTCCAATATATTGACTACTTTTTAGTTTGGTTTATAACTCCTTGAATTGATTAATTTAATTCAAATTTATTTAATCTATAAATTAATTTGTTCCTCTTTTTGATTCGTTTAACGATTAAATTTAACGTCATAAAAACATAATCTTAATTGCTTCCTAACTTTTCCGAAACGCAACATGAATTGACGCAACCAAACGGATTTTACATCACAGTTAATACCCTGTTTTAAAACAATAAAGTTTCTCTTTGTTTCTCTACCATCAACACAAAAAATGTTTAATCATATTACTCTCTCTCATCGTTAAAGGAGAAAGCCAAAGAGTAAATTACGACCTTTACTCCATGACCTTCAACTAGCGAAGCTTCTTCATCACCCACTTGTGCTATGTTCTTAATAGAGGCGACAACTGGCTGTTGACAGGAAGAAGGGCTTTGTTTTGTCTGAAAGGGACCACCCAATATGAATTTCAGTTCATCTCGGAATTTCATTTGAAATTAAAAAATAAAAGGAAAATGACATAAAGTACCACAAAAAATTCTTTATCTGGATCGTAAATTGCAATTAACCCCTTTAATTGGAACAATTAAACTGCGATCGTTAACTTTTATACTTTATTTGAAAATGGGATGATTGGGAAAAATTAAATAACTTCTTTTACGAGTTAATCAATGGTGTTATTTTTGTGACATCCTTTCTTTTTAACTTTTTCCGCTTGATTTTTCTTTTAAGATAAGTAATAAGAAAGGTTTTTCTTTCGATTGTCGTAATTGACCTTTTCAGTGAAAGTACAACTTAAAATTTACAAGAGACTCCCGAACGTGATGTGAATTTACAACCTTCGATAGCCCGCTTTCTTTGGATCGCTCTTCTTCGTTCTCATACTTTCCATTTTAAACAATTTTAAAGCAATTTAAACAACAATTCGAAATTTTATTTTATTTTGTTTTAAACTTTCAACTCGCGGTCGGTTTTAATTACTTCCTACTTTTTCAAACTTTTTATTTATTTTACTTCATCTAGACGTAGATTATGGATTGAGAAGTGAATTTTCATTTCAGCTACATTTCATGTACGTTGTTTTGGTTGAATAACTTTTAAGTTCATGTGTATAAAATCGAGAGAACGAAAGTTTTACTCATAATAATCAGTTTTAAGATTAGCATTGGTAATTTGAAATTGCAACGGAATTTATTTTTAGTTTCACTTTCTACAAAACCGATAACGGTTACAATAAAATGATTTATTATTCATCGCTAAAATTTTTATTTCTATTTTGTTACAGTTGGGCTGTTTCAACAATTATGACACGGCAAAATACAATTCCTTCCGAAGATGGAAAAGAACGGGTTAATGCACTTATTCCACTTTGGGATATGTGTAATCATACAAATGGAAGTGTGAGTTAAATCAAAATAAAACTAAAACTAGAACTAACACTAGAACTATCACTAGAATTAACACTAGACTTAGAACTAGAAACATTTGGGTTTAGCCGTACATCTCTCAAGACGGCTAATCTCGAATATTTCTAGTTCTAGGTCTAGTGTTAGTTCTATTACATGTGCTAGTAGTATTAATTCTAGTTTCAGTTGTTATTCAGCATCTGGTCGTTGTATATTTTTATTGAACTAAAACTACAAGTAACACTAGAGTTAGAAATAAGTCCTGTTTTGGTTCAAATGTTCTGTAGTTCCGAACAGTTCTGAATCTTTCTGCTCATACGTACAATATGCAAAACGTATGCCCAGAAAAGTTTAGAGCTACAGAACTCTTGAACCAAAACAAGCCTACAGAAACACTCAGGTTTGGTCATAACTAGCTATAAGTCTAGAGTTAGTTCTAGTGATACTGTTAATTTAAAGGCAAATGTTTAAATTATGTAGATTTTTAATAAATGTTTTAGATTTCAACTGATTACAACCCCGAATTAGATAGATGTGAATGTCTCGCTATAAAAAATTTTAAAGCTGGAGATCAATTATTTATTTTTTATGGTCCAAGAACAAACGCAGATTTATTCGTCCATAATGGGTATTTAAATTTAATTTTTGCATGATTATGATCATCTTGATAATTTTTTTTTAGATTTGTCTATGAAGAAAATGAATTTGATTTTTATCCGTTAACTTTAGGAGTGAGCCAATCAGATGTTCTTCGTGATAAGCGCTTAGAAATTCTTGGAAAATTAAACATCGACTTATCAGTTCCGTTTAAATTAACGAAAAATTCTCCGCCAATTGATGGTGATTTATTGGCCTTCTTAAGAATATTTAACATGAATGAAGAACAATTAAATCATTGGTTATCTGGAGATAGATGTAACGATTTAACTTACAGCGAATGCGCGTTGGAAACTGTTTTGGAAAAGAAAACGTGGATGTTTCTTCAAATGAGAATGAAATTGCTACTTTCTTCCTACAAAACAACTTTAGATGAAGATTTAGGTATGATTAGTAATAAAAATAGTTGTAATAAAAACTTAATTATACGGTTGAAAGTTACTGAAAAAAGAATACTTTATTGCGTCTTAGAGTATGCTGAGCAATGTCTTAAACAATTTATTTAAACAATTTTTAGATAGTTTTAACAGATTTTTGGGATTTTATTTCTTCTTTTTGAATTTTAAATTAATCAAAATTTACTTACTATGTAAGTTTTAATTATTATTTGATTCTTGAATTCGTAATATCAATTTTAATGGAAAGAAAAGGCTTGCAGTATTAATAATTTGTGGAATTAAAAATAAATTATTTTTTTGCTTCGAAACGATTTTTAACCTGCCATCTGTTAAAGAATTCCTAGAACTGCCTAAAGATTCCTATTCTCTCATTTTATATCTAATTTAAATTTAAATAATTTCCTTATCTAATCTTATAACAATAGTAGTTGAATTAAAACTAGAAGTAACACTAGATCTAGAATTAGAAAGTTTCGGGTTTAGCCGTGCGTCTTCAGACTAGTTTTAGTTCAATAAAAAAGTACACCAACTTGGTGCTGAATAATACCTGAAACTATAACTAACATTAAACTTAGAACTAAAATCATTCGCGTTTAGCCGTGCGTCTCTCAAGACGGCTAAACCCGAATAATTCTTCTATTGTGGTTGAGTCCATATGTAAGAATATATGAAAAACTTAACCCTTGGTAATTGCGGTTAAGTGAACAAGAAAAAAGATTTCTTGTGGTTGCTTGATTAAAAAGATGGATTTGAATTTTAGTTATTGGTGATTTCGGAGTAGGTAAGTTTTTAAAATATTCTTTTTAAAAATTTTAATTCTTAAATGATTAATTATTGCAGATAAAACTTCGATTATAAGGAGATATGCCGAACGATGGTAATTCTATTTTATCTTAAAAATATTTTGAATTCATTTCTTGATTCCGAATCAATATCGGTGGTACAATATTAAGACATTTTATACAATAAATTAGCGAATAAAGTGTTAAGTGTCTCAGGAAACATAATGTCTTTGCATTTGTATAATAAAATGGAAATAGATAATAATAAAAAATGTGAAAATAAAACAGTTTCAAAAAATCAAATGTTTAGGGTCAATTTAAACATTAAGCATGGTAAGGAAAATTATTTATTAGACTTTATAATTATTATAGGGTTAGATTTGGTTGAAAAACAAAGGAAGAGTTTGAAAAGGAACATAAAGAAATTTTTCTGGTATTTCTTGATCAGCATGAAACAAAATAAGATAAAAAAGCTGAAGGAGTAATAAAATCGCCTCAGAGATTACCAAATAATGTTGGAAATAAATTAAAAAATGAGATAGATAAAATAATAAAAATGGATATCATACAAAAAGTTAAGTATGCAGATAAGTGCTGTAGCAACTTGGTAATTATTGATAAAGGTGATAAAGTCAGCTTATGTTTTGATGAATTAATCCCAACATTTGACGAAATTCGTAAAAAAACAAAACTTTATAATAAAAAATTCTTTAATGTATTGGATATTAAAAAAGGTTTTAGATATGTTAAGCTTGTCCTTGAGTCAACAAATCTGTATGTTTAGCACACCATTTGTGCTCAATAATAAATGTATTGGTAATATCTTGATAAAGATGACATAATAACCTATTTTGATGATAAAAACAGAGGAGAAATATGATAGAGTGTTAAAACAAGTAATAGAAAACGTTATAAGGTTGTTAAGTACAACATTTACAAATTGGTACAAATTGATGAGGAACCACTAGTTTCCCTGTCCGATAACTCATCAGAGAGATATTCCGTTTTTGATTTTCGGTTTGAAGTCATGACGATATAGCAAAACCCTAATAAAAAAATATAGTCAATATTTTGTAAAATATATACATTTTTTTATTGACCTTTCGCAATAGGACCAAATCGAATAAGATAATAACACACTATAAAATAAACAACAGGACAATATGCAAACAGCATCTAAACTATGTATGTACTTCATACAGACTACCCAGACGATTGCCACTGTGCTACACCCACCAAAACTCACATATTCGCAATGTGGTGTATCTATGCGATTTAATGACGTACACGTGTACGACACTCCATGCGCAAGGGTCAATAACTTCTAAATCCAACGACACTAATATTAAGAATTATTTAACATTATATGACGAAAAATCTTCTTCAGATATAATTGTTTGTCTGTTCAATGGACCTTGAATAACCGGAGGTGTAAATATTGCAAAAATGTCTTTTACGAGGACATCATATTCTTCATCTCGTTCCGCTATAAATTTTCTTCTACAGTGTGTTAATTAATTATCGTACCCGACGTCATCGTTGCAAGTATGCAACTAATATCACAGTATTTAATACACAATACGCGATTTACGTATTCAGATATATTCAGTGTGATATTGGTTGCATATTTGCAATGATGACGTCGGGTACGATCATTAATTACCACAGTGTACTCTTACCCAAGGTCCGTAAAGCGTATTGTACAAGGTTAGCCAGACGAAGGATTTCAATGTATGAAAAGTGAACACCCCTGACATGCCCTAATCGTAACACGACTCTGACGTTTTAAGAAAAAAGTATTCTATTAATATTAAAGTATATAAATTATGTAATTTAATAATAAAAAAAGAAAAATGCTTCGTTTCAGTCTCTAGCTCCCACTGCTTCGTAACTCGTGACGTCACCTCTCTCCTTTACCTTTAAAGCACGTTCTACCATGGGTATAAAATCGGCAACTGTGTATGTTGGGTTGCATCACGCACTGTTTATTCTCAAAAAATGAGAATAAATGTAGATGAGTGAGATAGAGTCATAATAAGAAAAGACACGATCAATTAGCCCCATCCTATAAGGACGTCACCTACATATATATACAGGTGTCCCACCTAAGTTGCCTCTGTCCATAGCCGAATTATGATTGAGTTTTTCGAAAAACGTTTTAGATAAAAGTTGAATCGAATCATATTGTACATATTTTAAAATTAGTTTCAGTAATGGCGGACTTCCGCTTCTACCGGAAANCAAAGAATTATTTAACATTATATGACGCAAAATCTTCTTCAAATATAATTGTTTATCTGTTCAATGGACCTTGAATAACCGGAGGTGTAAATATTGCAATAATGTCTTTTACGAGGACATCATACTCTTCATCTCGTTCCGGTATAAATTTTCTTCTACAGTGTGTTAATTAATTATCGTACTCGACGTCATCGTTGCAAGTATGCAACTAATATCACAGTATTTAATACACAATACTCGATTTACGTATTCAGATATATTCAGTGTGATATTGGTTGCATACTTGCAATGATGACGTCGGTATGATCATTAATTAACACAGTGTACTATTAACTATTACCCAAGGTCCGTAAAGCGTATTGTATAAGGTTAGCCAGACGAAGGATTTCAATGTATGAAAAGTGAACACCCCTGACTTGCCCTAATCGTAACACGACTCTGACGTTTTAAGAAAAAAGTATTCTATTAATATTAAAGTATATAAATTATGTAATTTAATAATAAAAAAAGAAAAATGCTGCGTTTCAGTCTCTAGCTCCCACTGCTTCGTAACTCGTGACGTCACCTCTCTCCTTTACCTTTAAAACACGTTCTACCATTGATTATACTACTTCAGATAGTCCAGATTGCTAACCATGTGTATAAAATCGGCAACTGTGTATGTTGGGTTGCATCACGCACTATTTATTCCATATATATACTATCTCCTATATCGCTGACTAAGGCAGCAAAAGAGTGTAAACACTAGAGTGCAGATATATATATATCTGTCTCTGTCGTGCCCCCGTCTACTCAAGAGACATGCGTGAACACGTGGTGAGTACGCTTTTATCTTATTGGACGGTGAATTAAAAATTAATAGCAGCTGATGACCTTGATGTTTATAAATCACCAAATAAATGTTTGACATAAACATAACCTAAAATCTAAATATTTAGTTATGTATATTATAGGTTTCATGTGTATAATAACATAATTATTAACATATTTTAGGACTAAGCAATTTAAAATGTAATTATTATTTGTTAAGAAAGTGAAGAAAATTTGTTAAAAGATATTTTTGGGGCCTAAAAATTGGTTGAGCAGGTAGAAGGAACGATCTCAGTGTAATAAAAAAGAATTCAAAGCCCTCCTTTTCTTGAAACATTTTTCTTAAAAATTTAATTAATAATTACATCGATATGATGAAAATTTTATGATAGAATATTATGTACATTAAATAGTAAGTACCCTAAGTACATATTTTATATCTTTAATTAATGTAACAACTTCATTAAAGGGCGTGAACTCACAAATTATGTTAAAAATTAATAACTATATTTTGGTACACATTTTTAATAATTACTATGTATATATGTATTAATTTAATTTTAAAGAATATAATGTTTAATGAACAACCTACATAAAGTTGATATTTAAAGCAATATTCAACGTCAATTTCACACAAAAGTACATATATTCTAATTTATTTGATGCATCTACGATAATTTATAATTAAAGTCAATTATCTACAATAATTGCATTTCAAAGCTGCATAAAATACGCGCGAAACACTTCAAACTCTTTAAAATTTACGATTCGCGCAAGCGCCTTCGCGACATGGGGGCACGACAAAGACAAAACATATATCATTCCGTCTTCTTTTGATGGAAACGCTCGCCACTCATTGCTTAGATAGGGAGTCAGCGATATAGGAGATAGTATATATATGGTTTATTCTCAAAAAGAGAATAAATGTAGATGAGTGAGATAGAGTCATAATAAGAAAAGAGACGATCAATTAGCCCCATCCTATAAGGACGTCACCTACATATATATATATATATATATACTGTATCTAAATGGCATCAAAGAAATAGCATCTGAAAAAGTTTTCTTCATCTATCTCATTTTCCGAGGAATAAAATGCTTTTATTTTACTCAAGGGTTTAATGTTTAGGGGTCGATAGCTAACAATTAATACTTAAAGTTCATTGGTGTTACTTAGATACAATCATTACTATTTAAAATTCTCCTTAGAAAGAATTTTAAAAACGCACTAAAATGAAGTAGGACTAATAAACATTTTACTGAAGGAAATAATAACAATCTTTAAATGTGGATATGTCTTTTAGTGTATCTTGTTTAGTGATTTGATGGCGTAAATTGGCGCACGCATCTATTGAAGAAAAAAAATTAAATAAAATAGAAGTTATTTAAAACAAACGCCAGGAATAACACTTTACGCGTTACCAATTTTTACGTAGCTGTTCTACTATCACTGGCCAACTTGCTATAATGCACTTTACGGACCTTGGTTTTACCAATCCTTTTATAAGATTTTACTTGAAACTCAGAATTAATCAAGACGTTAGTAATTTCGCCAATATAAAAATAAGCAAGTTCTTTACCAAGAATTTTTTATCAAAAAATCGCCCTTATTTAAATTACATTGGGCAAAATTCTCTTCAATCTTTTCTTCCACATTCCTACGTTATATTTTCTAATAAAGTTTCTTCTTCACTACCGGAACTGTTTAGGACTTTTTCATTATCTTCATCTGAAGAATGTCATTGGAACACACCTTCTATTAAATTTTTTGGAAATTTTTGATCGGTGCTTTTCTTTTGCCACTTTTTTTTTCATATTAAATTATTTTCTTTTTAGGCGAATCAGTCAATATGCGCGTTTTACCTTTCTTTCTTCCTTTTTGTACTATTCTCGGCGCAGCTTTTGAAATGGTCGAATAGCTATTATCTTCATTCGTCGACTTTACAAAAGAGTTAGACTCTACGCTTATGTCTTTTTCATCTTCACTATTTGATATTTTTTGGTTTGTCTCTGCCTGCTCTGATAAATCACTTCCTGGTTTGTCATGTCTCGAAAAACTTGTTAATTGAAGGGATGAATGCCCGTCACCTGAAATCCTTTTTCAATATCCTCCTTACTAAAAGATTTACTAAATGCTTTTCCTATTACTCTAGCAATATCATATACGCTAATTGGTTTTCCAGCATGTTCTAGAAGCCAGTTGTTTAAGGCAGTATTATAGACATTATAGTGGAACTTGTAAGGGTCAAACACTACGGTCCAACGGTTGAAGCTTGTGTGAAAGATGAGGCGGAAGTGTTAGCATTACAACGCCATTTTCCTTTGTTAAGCTAATCGCGGAATCGAAATGTGAGATTCGTGATTATAAAGGATTAATAGGACCGGATTATTTCTTGAAGGTTTTTGAAATGCTAATATCAAGAACAATAAGAACTAAATTTCCAATCCATCCAGATAAATTGTAACAAAAATTAATGTTTTTAAAAGAAACTATATAAAAATACGCATGACAGAAAACAAGTAGGAAAAGAAGCAGATTTTAAACCAGAAGACTTCAACTTGGGTATGATTTTTACAATTTAGCAACTTAATGGGATGGTTTGCATCAAAATCTGATATCCGAAACAACTAATGGTACTGCCAAGAAATCAATGCAATGCGAAGTTCAATTTTGAAGTCTATGGATTCTCAATTGACCAAAACGCATAGGTTATCCACATCAGTTAGGACTCATTAGGTACCGTTGTAATGAAACTACCATACATGGAGCTTCCTTAAATTTCTACAGTAATGGCTTAAGGCCAAAGATAAATACAAAGAAAACATAAGCAATGCGCATCAACACAGATAACGCACAATTACTTACGATATATCGCGGGAACATAAAAAAAGAAACTTTCTAGCTCTAGTGTTCGTTCTAGTTTTAGTTCTATGAAAATATACAATAATCTAACGCTGAATAACAACTAAATCTAGAGCTAACACTAGCACTAGAATTAACAGTAGACCTAGAATTAGAAACATTCGGGTTTAGCCGTACATTTTTTAAGACGGCTAAAACCTAATGATTCTAGTTCTAGATCTAGCGTTAGTGCTACTTTTAGTTCAATGAAAAATATACAACTATCTAACGCTGAATAATAACTAAAACTAGAGCTAGTACTATCACTAGTACTAACACTTGACCTAGAACTAGAAAGATTTAGCCGTCTTAAGCGACGTAACACATAAAGTATATTAACAAATTAATATTTAATGTGTACCATTGTCAAGGCAACAGTGGCTAGATTTTAAATACAGCCTGTACGATAATAAGTTATAGGTAATTTAAATTCAAATCTATGTACTTTGTATTATTTTAATTGTAATTCTATAAAAATTGTGTAATTTGTAGTTATTATGTTTGAATCAGCATTGAATAAAAAGAAAATTAATGTATATATAACGAAAAACACATAAATTTTATTAACTGGAGGGAAATTGTAAAAAAAAGCTGATGTGAAGAGTTCTCACGAGTTAAACCTTAAAACCTCTTGGATGTCGTTGAAAACAAGGTGAATACGGTTGAGGAACAGTCACGTTATGCAAGAACAACATCGGTTAGGCATCTAAGGCCAGCATTTCGATATATTGGCCGAGAATGAGGATTTATGACCAATTCGATTTTGTGCGTTCTTTGGTATAGTGAAAGGGATATTGTATACTTATTGTTTATTCATGTCTAGTGGTACTTTAATTTAATTAAAATAGAATAATTATACAGGTGATTTAGTTTAACAGAAGGTTTGTGTTTTTAATGAAGAATTAGATGTTTTTTTTAGAATTTATTTCAAATTTGTGTTGTCGGTTTCTGTATTCGACTTTGAAATTTCTTTTTTATTTCTTAATTTGGATTAGTTCGCATTTATTGGGATTGTATAGGGTATTTTATCGTCAAGTTAGGAATAAACAGGATAGATCTGGGGCACCGTTCTTTGCAAAGATTTACGAGAATTAGACCTCGTGACGTGATATAAACGCATTCCATGTGACTGTAAAAAACACATTATTCCTTCACGAAGCGCACCACATCCGTATAAAAGGTCGACACTGTCCACCAGAAACTTCAGTTTCTCTTCCAACCTTTCTTCTACTCTTCTACTTTTGAAAATCATCTTTAATTTTCTTCTAATATTTATTGATATTTTTTGAACATGATCAAATTAGTAAGTTATTTTTGTTTTAAAAATTAATTTTTGTTAATTTTGTGTTGAACTTTTTTAGATATTTACTTTGATACCATTTTTAGTGGTAACTCGAGCTGATCCTGGGTATTACGGAGCTCACGGTTTTGGTCCACTTCTTGGTCATGCTCTTCCTGCGCCAGTTTTACCAGCTCCAACTATCATTAAAACGCCAGTTATTGCGCCAGCTCCAGTTATAGCACCTGCTCCAGTATTAGCTCCAGCTCCTATTTATAAAGCTGTGGCACCAGCTAGTAGTTACGCAACAGTTACCCAAGTGCATGTTACACATCCTGCAGTTGTCAAGGTTTGTAAATTAACTTAAATTTTTATTTGAATACTGTGTAAATATTCTTGTTTTTCGTTAGGCTGTTATAGCTCCTCAACCAATTGTAAAATCGATTGCTTATCCAGCTCATTTCCCTGCATTTGGACATGGATTTCATTAAAATTGGTCTTTTTTGATAAGTGTTGTTATTATCGATTGTATATAAATATTAAATTTATTTTATTTTTTTTAGATTAATAAATGTGCAGTGTATTAAAAAAGTAAAAAGTTGTATTTATTTAGTAAAATTTTTCTGCTTCAATTTGACTATTTAGTTACAATGTAATTAATTGTAGTACATTTGCTTAATCAACATTTTTAACAATTTGTAGTTGGTCCTGTAGGTTATGGACCTTCTCATGTTATGGGCCCTTTTATGTTAGCAAAACTATTGTGGATTAGTGTACTAATAAATTAATGTGTTTATAGCTTATGGAAGTTTTCTGTTGAATTGTGATACGACGCGGTATTGAAAAGTGTTTACCTTGAATAATGACGCGTTTATACTTTCAATCATATACATGTTTTGTTGCGTATTTTTGCTCCGTGTTTGTTGCTGTGTGTCATAATGGATCGAAATGATTAGAAACATTTAATTATTGCTTAACAAGGAGGAACAAACCTAAACGTGGTAAAGATCATGTCTTANAGGTTATGGACCTTCTCATGTTATGGGCCCTTTTATGTTAGCAAAACTATTATGGATTAGTGTACTAATAAATTAATGTGTTTATAGCTTATGGAAGTTTTCTGTTGAATTGTGCTACGACTCGGCATTGAAAAGTGTTTACCTTGAATAATGACGCGTTTATACTTTCAATCATATACATGTTTTGTTGCGTATTTTTGCTCCGTGTTTGTTGCTGTGTGTCATAATGGATCGAAATGATTAGAAACATTTAATTATTGCTTAACAAGGAGGAACAAACCTAAACGTGGTAAAGATCATGTCTTACAGAAAATTCAAATGATTGTGAAGTATGTGAAGAGATGTTGTGAATCAACTTAATCACCAACAACTTGGGGGTGCTCAACATGATGATTACAATTAAAAAATGATTTTGGTGTGTTTTGAAAGTATTTCAGAGTTTCCAGAAAAAAGATGCTAATTGAAAATCTCAAAAGAATGTAATTGGGCTTACTAATGCACTATGATCCCCGGACAGAATTTTTTCATTAATTTAAATCTTGTTATTTAATTGCCTCTTCACATACGTGTGGAATTTCTGAGTAAACTTAGTATTTTATGCAGCTTTTAACGGTTTTCTATGATTTAGTTCATTTTCCGAATCGGCTTTTCTTATATATAATTTGGATGTTTGCTTCCACTCCATAAAATGGTTTCCAGACTAATTAAAATCTCCATTTTCGTTGTCTTTCCTTTTAAGCCTAACAATTACCAGGAAAGAGATAAAGTTGATTGGTGGGTGTCTAAATCATTCAAATCAATTGAAAATATTCTCAAGTTACATAACAAAAGCGAAAGAAGTTAAACAAATTAATGAGCTTATTTTCAAGTATATTGAACGTATTTAGAGTATGGGAATACATATTTAGGGTGAATGAAAATTGTTCTAATCAATTAAAAACTACTCGAGGATTCTTTGCTTAGATGATTAATTATATTTTATTAGGGACATTTAAATAGGGTTAGGTTGGGTTGGGTCGGAGACAGCTGTGCGCAATGCGAAAGCGTATACCGACTGTCCATAATCAAGTGCGAGGAAATGAAGGGAATTTCTAGTGGGTATACCAGAATGCAACATACATGGCTGAAGGAACCTAGTTTCCACAATACCATCGTGAGGCACCAACAATAGGGCAGCGTACGTAATGTATTTTCTCCTTCCTAGCGCCAAAATACAGGGTTGAGTTGATTTGGCTTAGGTTGGCTTGGGTTGGGTTGGGTTTGGTATATCGGTCTCCCTTATACTGTTAGGTGTCGTACCTGCGATTTCCGCAGTATCTTTTCCTCCATCTCTCGTCTTATTTTTTTCTCTTTTTTCAATATATCAACCACTTCGTGGTTCCATCCCTTTCTCGATCTTACTCTCCTCCTTCTTCCACCCCATCCTGCCCCCATATCTCTTTGATGACGTTATTTTCGCTTATTCTTACCACGTGTCCGAACCATCTACCAAGTTAGCGCTCTTCTATTTTTGTTATTATTGGTTGTACGTTAAGTCTTGCTCTTATTTCGTCATTCCTTATTCTGTTCATCCTTGTTACACCCTCCATTCTACTTAATACCTTCATTTCCATTCCAGCAATCTTTGATTTTAACCTTTGTGAAGCACCCATAAATCGCTTCCGTAGCTGAAAGTTGGTACATAAACAGTTTTATAATTTTTTAATTTTTTAAATAATGATTTTACTCTCTCATGTTTAGCAATATTTCTTTCCATGCATTAAATAATGTAGATGTGGCAAGTGTCCTATTGTTTACAACTTCCATTATTATCCAATATCGTTTCCAGATAAATTTATCTTTCTATTGTCTTGAGCGTTACTATCATAATTTCAGTTTTGTTAAAATTAACTCTCATGTCGTTTTCCTTGATTGCTACAAGTTCCTATTGCTTTTTCCAACACGGCTTTGTTACTTGATACCAGTAGTTGGTCATTAACATATAACAGATCTATCCTAATCCTTTCCGGTCTCTTCCACATAGTTCTGAGATTTCATTTTTAACTGGAATGAACAGTATCACGCGATTGCCAAATTTTCTCCCATACCAGTTAATATTATATAAGTATAGCTTTCCATTTCCTCTTGCCACTCTACCTATAATTTGTCTAATACTGAATATCTAGTACTGCAAGCTTCTCCCTAGACACCAGCTTCGTTGTCTTGCAGTGTAACCTCAATTTCACTTCTTAATGTTCTTTCGATTATCATATCATACAGCTTTCCTATTACAGATATGAGATAAATATCTCCTTTCTCGAGTTTCCAATCCTCGAGTATCTGTTTATCTTTCTGTTACGTTCAAAATATCAAGAATTTTTTTCATGCATTTTAACATCTCATGTTCTAAGTTGTCTGAACCAGGTGCTTTCCCATTTTTAATTTTGTCCAATGCTCTCTTTACTTCCTCCATCTATATATCAGGCAGCGTTACATTTTTTTATTAACGCACTGTAAGTTTCTGTTAGCTGTTCACTATGAATCCCTACTTCTAATAATTCATTGGTATTTGAACCATGTTTGTTTTATCTCCTCTTCCGACGTACTTATCATCCCATTCTCGTCTTTCATATATCTCTGGTTTGAGTTCTTACCTTTCCTTAAGGTCCTAAGTGGCCGGAACAGTACTTTCGAGTATCCTTCATTCTTTGCCTCCATCCGTTTTCAGCAAAATAAAATGTTTTTTAATCTGGATGCTAAAAGTTCTTATGTCTCGAACTACTGAATATCGTGATGTCTCATTTAAACTATTTAAAATTGTGAGCGAACATGTTAGAAGATAATTATAGCTAATAAAATCGTTTTTGGAGTTATCCCCATTATGAATTACTTCACTAAAAGTGTTAAAGTATCTTAAAATGTGAAAAGTAGTCCACCGAAGATCATTGACCCAAAATATTTTTCACTTCATTTTCGATGTTCGAGTTGTGTTAACGTAGTAGTGCAATCGGGTTATTACTGACTAAGAATTATACTTTATTACATAAGTAAACAAATTAAAGTGTTTTGTAATAAGAAACAATTCTTTAGGATTAAAATCATAGGTAAGAAAATGAATTTTCTAAAAGTATCATTTTTTTCTTGCAAGTGTATGCAACTTTAACTACTTATTCTATATTAATCCCACGTTTATTGAAGGGTGTTTGAAATTTCGATCGAACGAAAACGTTAAATAATTAATTATTTCCCATCGTAAAAACCTTGTAAAACTGCGTTGAAATTAATTCATGTGGCCTTCTCGCTCTATGAACGATCCTAATCGAAATAATCATCCGCGGTATTGTTCAATAGAAACCGGCGTTTTTCAGTTTTAGTTAGTATTAAATGTGTGAAGAATAACAAGTTGCAATTAAAAAGTGTTTTATTTGTCTCATGAAATGAATTAATAATACAAATAATTTCTCCCTTGTGTTTTTATTGATTTTTAATGATGAGAGAAATCGAATATGTTCCACGAGAAAGGTTAATAATATTAGAATAAAATGTTTTAAATATAATTTTTTTTAAATTACAGTTCTACACAAGAAAATCGATCGAAATGGACGTTTGCATCTTTGTTAGTTGTGATATTTGTTTTAATTGTTACAATTGGGATTTTATTAATTTACGGTAAGTTAATTTTTACGTTATAATTAATGTTATCATTTATTTATTTGATTTCAAATAGTAATTTGCTCCCAACCATACCCTTATTGTACTTCTACAAAATGCATCGAAAGGGCATTCGCAATAAAATCCTCGATGGACCAAAACTATGATCCTTGTGATAATTTTTACAAATTTGTTTGTAACAATTTCGAATACGCCAATTATGGGAATCAAAATCCCATGGAAGAGTTCTCAAATTTTCGTAAAACAACGTATAGATTAAACGATATGATCCAAAAAATGATTCAAATGCCAATTAAGAAGAAAGATTCTCATCCAATTCGAATGATTAAAAAGTTTTACGCAGCCTGTTCCGATAAAGGTTGGTTTCATACAGTAATTTTTTAAATTTATTTAATATGTTTGTTATGTTTAGATGAAAGGGAAAAATTGGGATTATCTGTAATGGATAAATACTTAACCCAAGCAAATTTACCAAGAATTCCAACGATTTTTACTTTACCAGAACAAAATTGGGACAATTACACTTTTAATTGGGTTAAAACATCGGTGATGATGAAAAAAATTTTTGGAATTGATTTATTTTTTAAAACTGTTGTTTCTAATGACTCGGTTACCTTTTTAATTGTTCCTGATGAATCAAAAATACCAATGTAATTATAATTATGTGTTAATATATGTGATATACAACATATCCATCTAATATCTACCAGTCAATATTTATCTATAACATTTTTCGTTTGACTAAAATAAAACAGAAAAGTGGCTGGTGCATAAAATCACCTTCTGGACAAAGATAGGTTAATTGTTATTTAGCGCTAGATTGTTGTATATTTTTATTAAATTAAAAGTAGAACTAACTAATACAGAACGCGACGGTGTGGATAGCTGTTCGAATTTGTGTGCATTAAAATTATTCATTCAAATAGTTTAAAGTGCAAATTAAAAACTTTGTATATAACGATAATTAATTTTATTGTTTTAGATTAATTTCTAAAAATGGTATTAAAACTTACGAAAATCTCTACAACTCGTTATTTTTATCTGATAAATTTAAAAGTGCAATGATTCATTTAATCAGCGAAATGTTTTCTTCTGAAATGAATGTAAAATATTTTCGAAAGATTATTGAGAAGATTTGGTTACAGTTTGTAAATATAACTGAAGAGGCTCAATTTGTATTACTAATTGAATCTTAATTAATACAACTTTTAATTTCTTAATTTTTAGGTGGTAGAAAAATATAAAAAATACGGACCTTACTTAGATCGAAATGATAAAACGGTGGTTTTTTCATTCAAAGATTTTCAAAAGATAACAGACAAAAAATTAAAAAAGAATGGTTTAACCCCATCAAAACCAGGAGACGATTGGAAAAGTTACGTAATGATGTTGCATAAAGAATTAAGCGAAAAATCGACAAATTTCAGCAATATAAATGTGCGTCTTTTCGAAAATGAATTGGATTACATCGTAAATATACCAAGTACTTTACGTAAAACGTCCGGTGTTATGTTAGAAATGTTTGCTTGGTGGAAAGCTATCGATTTTATGATTCTTCATACAACAGATGAAATGGCAACAACTTTAAATAACTTACTTTATTCTTTTTCTGGTGATGAGTTAGTAAATTTTGAAATAATTAATTCTTTAATGCGAATATTGAAATAATATTAAGTTAACTTGACGCTAAATAACAACTAAAACTAGAATTAACATTAACATTGTTACTAGAACTAACACTATCACTAGAACTGACACTAAACACTTAGAATTAGAAGCATTCGAGTTTAGGTTTCTAGTTCTAGTAATAAAAATGTCTTTAGAATTCTTCTAAATGATGCAAATGAATTAAAGTGCGTTAAAGGATTAAAATAAATCAAATTCTTAAGTATCTTCTTTAACACTTTTCATTTTTTAGTACAGATTGTTTAAAATTAACAATTAACAAATTTAATCTTGCTATTTCTCATGGATTAATAACAGAAGATTTTATTTCAACTAAACCTCAAATAATGAAATTTATCGAAAACTTACTTGATTCTTTTCAAGAAAGAATCGAGGACATCAAATGGATTAATGATGAAATAAAAGAATTGATTTATAAGAAATTAGCTTCGATAGATTTATTTGTGGGCGTCCCAGATTGGATTTTAGATGAAAAAAGAGTCATGAAAGAATACGAAGGGGTAAAATAAAAAATTGACATAAATAAAATTTGTTTTATACATTATTTTTAGATTAAAATTAAAAACTACACCCATTTAGATAATTTAATGCAAATTGTTCAAATGGAGGTTTTAAAAAATTACAATGATCCGTCAAGCGAAGACTTTTACAGAAATTTAATTGAAGTAAAACCTTATTATAACTCTTTAACGAATTCCATTACAATTCCTTGGTCTATTTTGAGCACCCCATTTTACAACCTTGGATTACCGTAATTAACTTATTATTATTTTTGATAAAGTACTCATTTTCAATTTGAAGATCTCTCGAATATGGTGCTCTTGGAACCTTAATCGCATACGAAATTATCGACGAATTCTTTAACATTTTATGGTCACAAGAAGCATTACAAACCACTTTTAAAGAGAAAATGAAATGCTTTATTGAACAATACGGAAATTTTTCGGAATCGATGCAGATTAATGAGAATATCGCCGATAATGAGGGAACTAATATCGCTTTTACAGCAATGGCCAAATATTTTAAAACAACAAATGTGGAGAATAAACTCCCTGGATTAGAAATATTTTCTAGTGAACAATTATTTTTTATATCACAAGCACATGTAATGATTCTTTTATTAAAGATGTTTTTAATTGTTCGTTTATTACAAAAAATGTGTTTTAGGTATGGTGTTTTGTTAAAGAACCTTTTCTCGATATCGATGGTAACGATGAAATAATTACGAATGAATTCAATGTTAATGGAATTGTTCAAAACGCAGCAAAATTTTCGGAATCTTTTAATTGTCCCCTTGGGAGTAAAATGAATCCGGAAAGAAAACGATGTGAAATTTGGTAATTTAATTAATTTATTTATAAATTTAGATTAATAAAATTTTAACAAAAAAAAAAAATTAAAGTTATCTTGTAAAAAATACGACTTCATCCAAAATTTTTGTTTGGTCCAACTTTTCTTGGATTCATTTCGATTTGGTTTCCTATATACTATTTAGAGTGCTGAAATTCTTGCTCTAGATGTGTATTGTCTATGGAGGTGTTTTACAATATTTGCGACATTTTCTTAAGAGTTCTTACAAATTCTTAAGAACTCGTACGATTATTTCAATACATATGTCCAAATTATTTTGTTAAAATTTGTACGAACTTTGGTGGTGGAAAAGAAATCTCAAATCAACCTAGAAAAAAAGTAAACAATAGTATAGTCAAAACAATTCAAATTAGACTCAAAACAGTTCATCAAGCAATAAATGAGGATGTGGGATGATGATTCATGTCATCATCAATCGATACAAGTAATTCTCAACATACTGACACCACAATCCAAAATGAAACTCACAACGCAATGCAAAAATTAGTACGCATAGAAGATCATGATGATCATTATTTTGCTCCAAACATCAGAGATACAAGGTTGAAAATCATTGTTGTCCCTTGGTTTAGGACGTGAGATTTGTAATATAGTGCGAACAACCCAAGACATTACAATGAATACCACATAGATACAAAGTTGGAAATTATTTTGGTGTGCATGAAGCAAACTTAAACGTGCAATTTGTGACATAACCTGATGAAGTCAAGGTCATTTGGTCACACGGCTTTGGCGTTACAATTAATATCACGTGGATACAACATTGGTAATAAGTTTGTTGAGCCTCGGTCATACTTAGGTTCGCTTGCGACCTCTTTATTAATAGAAAATCCAAACCAACCGTATTTGCAATCATCATTTGCAATCATCATTTTCTTCGGCGTTACAGCTTGGTGTGAGCCTTATCCTGCTATTTAATGTGGTGGCGTGACAGCCCAATTTGCAATGTGCCTTTTTTCCGACGTGTGGTTAATCCCCCCTAGAAAGAGAGGTGGCACTACTACTAACGACACCAGAGATGTTCAACTGCTGCCGGGACCAACGGCTTAACTCTGTGGCACAGTGAATGAGAGAGACAACTTAAACAGAAACAACTTAATTTACCACGAATAGTAGCAATACCTTGCTCCTCGCAACAATATGGCGTCAGATTCTTTAGCTTAACGTCCCCTTCGAAGGGCGCAAGCACTTTTCCGAAGAACCCACCCGTTCTTCGGAAAAGTGCTTGCGTCATCAGGTGTAAATGATTTCATAAACTTCATTACGGTTATCTCCGTTGCTTCTTTTGAGCAAATCTTGCCTCTTCGAAGATTTTAATTCATGTTTTTAACAACAATGACACTCTAAGTTTAGAATTTTAACATTATCATTGTCTTTGTAAAACATTTATATGGCAATAACACGCTATTCATAGTTCCACTGGTTAAGAATTACTGAATGAGAGGATTGTATATAGTACAAGGTTTCTGTTTCAACTGCCAATTGTACATAGGTTCTCGGCATTTTAAGGCTTACTGTTTTTCTGGACAATGTCTGGAGTTTAGCAAATAGTTTCGGGGCATACGAAAGTCAAGTGCATATGCATTTTTTATTACATTTCTTCAGAAAACTCAAAATCTGCTGTCTTGACCGCTACCCTTGTAGTTGGTTGACTGCTGCTCATTGGTATACCAGTAACTGGACGGTTGGGGTTCAATAGGAAGTAACTCTTCCTAAATTGCTCCTCTTCTTGCCATCTCATCCCGTTACTGGGACGTTGACGTCACCCTTTCCGTACGACAAGAAAAAAAATATAAGGATATGTTTAGTGTTATGTGTTATAACCTGGATTTGTATAGAGAACTGTGATTTGTGATCGACCGTACCTAAATTATAAACCGTTAATAGAGAGTGTATTAACCAATGCTGCTAGGTCTGGGATTATGGCTTTTGCCCAGCCGGTATAGGAAGCTCATCTTTCTTGCTATTGCATCATTAATCCATCTTATAGTTTCCTTGTTATTCTTGTCTTGACTGCTTTCTCCTATCAGGATCAATTGATGACACAATTACTTTCACCACAACCGCCGAGAAAATTCTATATGCCGACACAATCACAATACTTAGCCGTCAACGTAGCGACTGTTGAAACTCTCTATAATACTCACATTTCAATGTTCTTTTCCATGATGCAGCAGCGTTGAGGGTTGCTCTTGTACCTCCTTTTGGAGAATGTTTTGACTACGTTTTGAGTCATGGACATGTAAGGTGGATATTATGCAAGTTACATTCATAAAATTTAGTATGATAACCACAATATGCGCATGAAGCAAAGTATACGGTTAGTATTTAAGGGTTCAAACATCAAGATAAACTGTATCCTTTAAACAATTTGGTAAAAATATTGGCCCAATTTAACAGTTGTCCAAAACACCGCACTGATGAAAATCCATGCTGATGTCACGAGTATAAGCCGTCTATAACCTTTCTTTTTTCTGAACTCATTTGGCGAAACATTCTTCATTTTCATTCTTTTCCTCAACTTTCTTTTTAATAACGATCACGCTTTTCATCACCGTTTATTTTCCAATATGTGGTTGTAGTTCTTTTCCAGTACACTTAAATCCAAAACACTACATTATCTTTGTTTTATTGATGATGTTTTATCATTTTGTGGTAATAACTAGTTAGTTTTGGCCTTTGCTCATGGATTTTACCTTTTCATATTTTGTTGTAAATTTTACCAGTTAACTTTTTTATATTGATGTTTCTAATTTTTTTCCTGCAGGAGTTTTTACTTTTATCCATGTGATCATTTCTTTCCATTTCATCTCTTCCACAATCTCTGTACATTTCTTTACCTCATTTTATGTGTTTTGTTTAAAATCTTGGCAATGGTCATTTTTATGTCATTTTTTGTAATAATCAAATCGATTTTTGTCATTTTCCGTTTTGATGACTCTTACTTTCTTTAGCCCATACCAACCTCACAACACTATTATAAAAAACGTTTCGAAACGTTGACGCTATACTGAGTGAGTTTTGAAAACACCTTGGTAAACTTTAAAGATTTCTATGCTGGCCCTGTTGGCCGCAATAATTTCTTTGTATAATAGATATGCCCCCACCGGTATCATTGTAATCTATGGTACCTCCTCCTCTGACCACTTTTGTGATGACTTAAGGAATCGACTTAAAGACATTTTCTAGACGGAAAAGCCAGATCTAAAGTCTCCTTGTTTTTCTAATCAGCGACTCTCAAAACATCAGGATCGGGCCATTTCTTTTTGTTGATGCTGTTATCTAAGTCCTCCATTTTGAATACAATGATTACCATTAGTATAATAGGAATAGCCACTATACGTTTTCATGTTTGGTAAATATTTTTTGTATCTGGTGCATAAAAGTTTCATCATGGAGGACTTTTTTAAGTTTTAGTCTCTTCACTGCTAAATGAGGTTGAATCGTTATCTGCTTTTCTTAATTNTGGTCCAACTTTTCTTGGATTCATTTCGATTTGGTTTCCTATATACTATTTAGAGTGCTGAAATTCTTGCTCTAGATGTGTATTGTCTATGGAGGTGTTTTACAATATTTGCGACATTTTCTTAAGAGTTCTTACAAATTCTTAAGAACTTGTACGATTATTTCAATATGTCCAAATTGAATAATTTAATATTTTGCTCCAAACCTCAGAGATATAAGGTTAAAGATCATTGTTGTCATTTGGTTAGGTTTAGGATGTGGGATTTGTAATATAGTGCGAACAACCCAAGACATTACAATGAATACCACATAGATACAAAGTTGGAAATCATTTTGGTGTACATGAAGCAAACTTAGAACGTGGAATTTGTGACATAACCTGATGAAGTCAAGGTCATTTGGGAGCTTCGGTCAAACTTAGGTTCGCTTGCGACCCCTTTATCAATAGAAAATCCAAACAATACTTAGTAAAAACTACAAAAAAAAGTAAAAACTAAAAACTTAGTCTGCTATAATGTGGCGGCGCTACAGACCAATTCGGGCTTTGAACTAACCTCTATAGCATTCGTAACAATTTGCATTTGTTGTGACGTGTAGTTGTTAATCACATGGTCAACCCCCTAGAAGGAGAGGTGGCACTACCACTAACGACACCAGCGATGTTCGAGTGGACGGCGGGTGGGTTCCTCGGAAAAGTGTGTGCGTCATCAGATACTACAACAACACAAATTTCTAATTTTAATTCAACTTATTAATTTGTGTACTTGAATCCTGTTTACCAATTTTCCCTTAAATATTAATATTTGATTTCCTTAAAGTGGTGTAATTTATCATAATGTTACCATAATGTTACTTTGGCAACCCGGAGTCCTTTAAAGATTTGAGACCTATAACTATACTTCCGACACTATCTAAAATTCTTGAGAGAGTAGTTGATTTCCAGGTACGCTATCACTTAGAATCATACAGTATTCTCCCTGATAAGGCATTACTTGACATCATAGACGATATCTTGTCGAACACTGACCAGGGTAATTGTGCTTTGTTAACTTTGCTTGATTTCAGTAAGGCATTTGATACCATAAATCATAAAATGCTTGATAATTACCATGTATATGCAGATGACTCTCAAATATATCATACTTTCAGTTCCAAAGATACTTCAAGCATAGTAGGCATGGTCAATGATGACCTACGTATCATTACGGATACGGCCTTTATGCATTACACAAATTTTGTTGTTCGGGCCTAGTGGCAGGAAAGAGACTATTGCAAATAACCTCCATGGTAAAATCTCCATTAACAATACAGTGCTCCAGATGGGATCTGAGGCTAAGAGTCTGGGTGCTTGATCCTGCTCTGCGATTTGATGCTCACGTCAGCGGTCTGATTAGGAAGTCTGCGGGAGGACTCAAAGCGTATCCTGCTCGCGGCTTGTTGCCGCGCGATGTAAAAAAGATGTTATGTGAAGCATTAATATTATCAAATTTTAACTTTTACGATGTACTTTATGGACCTTGCTTGACTGTAGCAACATCGAAGAGAGTTCAGTTAATTCAAAACTCATATCTGCGATACATATATGGGGTTAGGAAGTACGATAGGATCTCACATACCTTGTTTATGGCTAACTGGTTGAACATGACTAACAGGAGGCGACTACATACGGCTTGCTTAATACACAAACTACTCTGCGGCGGAAAGCCATCTTACTTGCATAGCAGAATTAGGCATCTTACTGACGTTCATAATGTGAACATTAGGAGGAAATCACTTCTTGTTGTACCGAAACATAGGTTAACCCTATATAAGTGATCATTTTCCTATACGGTTTAGCAGGTGTATAATGACATTCCATCAGCATTTAAGAAATTAAGTATATCATCATTTCGGCGGCGTTACAGGCAGCGTTTACTTCACACACAATAGTTTATTATTATTAATTATTGTTTTTTTTTGTTTTTGTTCTTTTTTTTTTGTTTGTGTTTTCTTTGTTTTTGTTTTTGATTTTCTCGTGGTTCGATACGAAAACCAGGCACTACGCCTGATATCGCACCATTTGGGCCCTTATTGTAACTTATATAGTTTAGTTTAGTTTTGAATAGTTTTAAAATTGAACGAATTAATTTTGAATTTGATGTAGTTTGTGGATTAGTTTATTTTGGGTAATTTAATTTGATTTATTCTGTAACACATTAAGGGTCACCAATAAATAAACTTATATTGATGTTTCTAATTTTTTCCCTGGAGGAGTTTTGACTTTTATCCATGTGATCATTTCTTTCCATTTCATCTCTTCCACAATCCCTGTACATTTCTTTGCCTCATTTTATGTGCTTTGCTTACAATCTTGGCAACGGCCATTTTCATGTGTTCAAGTATGAAAACACCCAGTGATTAATATATCTTAATTTAATTGAATTAATCCCAATATCTTTGAAATTACTTGTAATAATCAAATCAATTTTTGTCATTTTACGTTTTGATGACTCTTACGATAATACGCATACGCCATAAAATCGTCAGATGTTATTCCATCAGGATCGGGCCATTTCTTTTTGTTGATGCTGTTATCCATTAGTATACTAGGCTTAGCCACTATACGATTTCATGTTTAGTAAATATCTTTTGTATCTGGTGCATAAAAGTTTCATCATGGAGGACTTTTTTAAGTTTTAGTCTCTTCACTGCTAAATGAGGTTGAATCGTTATCTGCTTTTCTTAATTGATGTCGAATAAAAAAGATGCTACGTCAGCATTATTCTAGCTTATGTTGGTTTAATGATGATACTTTACGATCTAATACAAATTTTGAAATTGATGGTAACAAGTTGCTCTAAGTGGATAATCACTACCAAGAAATAGAATAGATAGGACTTCGCCTTGAAATAATTTTATGACCATTTTTTTTTTAATTTTGATATTAAAAACGGTGCAATGAAGTTGAAAAAGTTAGACCATGAAAATATCTGTCCATGTTACTATTTAACACCTTTAGAACGGAAATATAAAAATTAAATAAAATTATTTGCTCATATTGATGAAAATCTTTATCAAATTTCACCGGTTTCGAAGTTGTTAATTAATTCTAATATGATACATGTTAAGCGAGCACAAAAATAAACATAGATACGAAACCTAAAGGTATTACTATCCAGTAAATTATAATTAATTCTTTCATGATTTACTCCTGAAGATGTGGTGATATCAACCTCGAAACCGGTTGATTTAAAAAAAATTAAATCGAAAGCTTGGTAATAAAAATTACTTCATAATTATGATGAATTAAGAAATATAAATATGTTTTTAATCGAATTTGATCGTTTTATTATCAATTGGTTACTAAAATAACTACATTGACATTGATTTTGTAATTTCAGACACACCTCAAAGTATACAATCGCGTGACATCAAAAGGTTTTTCATCAATTGATGTCCAGTAACCTTTTTCCTATCATTATACAGGAAATGAACTAAAAAAATAGCTTTGTTATATAGAAAGACATTATTTTCTATTTTTCCCGATTTTTTATTACTAATTTTTTTATAATACATTTTTCAAGATTCAAAATTTATTGACTCATTCACTAAAATATTCATTAGGGAGGACTAAAAAAAGTAAAAAAAGTCACTTTATAAACAAATCCATTAAATTTGCAAGTCACGCAAAACGTCTCCTTACTACATGAAAAATCAATTTCCCATTTTCGCGATTAAAACCATTCCACTCCTTTTCCCGTTCACAACCAAACCTTATTACCCTTAATATCTCAAAATCAAAATAGATATAACCACACCTATAATCATCTTTATCTCACACCATTTATGGAAAATAAATCATTCCTAAAACATTACGCCTTTATAATCGATCCGATATCATTAATACGTCATCGTTCCGTAAACGGTTTCGAACGGACGTGTTTCGATTCGAGTTTGGCCCCCGCGTGTCTGTATTTGCTTGTACTATATGATAATAATGCGACGAAGGTTTTGTTGTGAGTGTCTCATCGAGTTTCGTTCGCCGATATTTCTTTGCGGTGAAGACTCCGTTGACGAAAGGTCATGGTTTTATCAGTTTCGATCAAATGATTTTAAAAGATTATTTGTTATTGACAAAAATGTATTGGTTAAAACGCTGAGATGATTGTTTCAAAATATTTTTTGTTGATGCAATAATTTGAGGAAAATTTTAAGAAAATGAGGAGAGAAGATAGCGAAGAAATTGATAGAAGAGATCGAAATGTTTATGTTAACACAATAACAGGTAATTATTCTAGATATAAGAAAAATATTTTTGAATTAATTCTTTAATTTATTTTAGGTTCAAATATAATGAATAATGGTGTTAAGGAAAGTCAACAATATTTGGTTGATATTAGCACAAAAAAATCTATGTAAGTTAACATAAATGTTATTTAATTAATATTAAAATGTAAGTTTTGTATTCATATCATTTCCAACTCTCGGAATTCATTGACTTTCAATTAATTTAATTCTAAATTCTTGTAACTTACAATTAGATAACAAACCCACATAAAAACAAGCAATAATCATTATTCCTTATTGTAACCTGCTACATTTTCAACGATTCGATTAGCATCAATACACGCGTAATTCCCTTTAGTATCATGAATACTAAAAAGCTTTTTTGTTATATCCACATTTATAAATGGACTCGCATTAAGCCCTCTTAAATTATTCACGGAAAAGCAACAAAAATGAGTTGTTAACCCAAAAAGGAATGAATTTGCGTTGTAATTTAAGATTATTATTCATTAAGTGAGTTGTGTCATTAATTATCCAAAAAAAATAATTAATTTTAATTTAAAATTACTTTATTTATGCAACACATAAAGCAAATTTGTGAAATCAGTCATGGGAAGTTTACAATTAAAAAAATAATTTTAAGTAGTAATTCATCTAAATTAGTTCCATTTAATAAAAAAATTCATACATAACACTTCATTTTAACATATACAACCACAAAGTTCTTAAACGCTCGAATTTTATACTTGACACGTGCATGACCATACTGAAAATTTAATGTGAGAAAAATTACACCTGGTGTTTAATAATAATCGCTACACATAATCTAAGTAGATATATTCTTGACATTCACCATGAATTAATTAATGAAATACAGTAAAACCTCGATATAATGGACAAAATATTTTTAAGTCATACTATTAATTAGTAGTGGAACGGATATCCGGTATCCAGTATATAATATCCAGTATCCGGCCTATCCGGCTTTGGCCGGATATTAAAAACCTATTAGTTAGTACTCCACTATTCACAGGAATTAGTATCTCTTTTAGGTGTTGGACATTGTAGATAATAATCAAGTTCAACCCCAATAAGACTTTTTTCATTGAACACAACTTTATTCATATCAAGTTTGTCATTAGCAACATCATTGTAACAATCCCAATACGATATATAAAATCTCTTGTTGCAGTTTCATGTAGTTTTCTTCTCTTCGCTTATAATTCATCATCACATTCATCACTAACAGAACTGCCGCTGTTATCACTTTCGATTATTAATTAAAGTATCCTCTTTTTAATGCAAAAAGTCGTTATGAAAAGTCACTTTCAGTTCTTGAAAAATAAATTATTGAAATGATTGACAATTTTTTGAAATTTTACAATTTTCGCCGATTAAGTTTTAAAAATTCGTATAAAATCCAGTTTTTGGAATATGAGTATGAAAATTTCTCAAAGTGTTAACAAGAGTGTCCTCTTTCCAATGAACCAACACGTTTTGAAAAATAACTTTTAGNTGAAAATTTAATGTGAGAAAAATTACACCTGGTGTTTAATAATAATCGCTACACATAATCTAAGTAGATATATTCTTGACATTCACCATGAATTAATTAATGAAATACAGTAAAACCTCGATATAATGGACAAAATATTTTTAAGTCATACTATTAATTAGTAGTGGAACGGATATCCGGTATCCAGTATATAATATCCAGTATTAAAAACCTATTAGTTAGTACTCCACGATTCACAGGAATTAGCATTTCTTTTAGGTGTTAGGCACTGCAGTTAATAATCAAGTTCAACCCCAATAGGACTTTTTCATTGAATACAACTTTATTCATATCAAGTTTGTCATTAGCAACATCATTGTAACAATCCCAATACGATATATAAAATCGCTTGTTGCATTAATTATTCATTATTATTATTAATTCACATTATTATTAATTCATCATCACATTAATTACTAACAGAACTGCCGCTGTAATCACTTTCGATTATTAAATAAAATATTCTCTTTTTAATGCAACAAGCCGTTTTAAAAAATCACTTTTAGTTCTTGAGAAATAATTTTTGAAATAATCGACAATTTTTACGAATTTTGCAATTTTCGCCGATTAAGTTTTAAAAATTTGTATAAAATCCATTTCTTGGAATATGAGTATGGAAATTTCCTAAAGTGTTAATAAGAGTGTCCTCTTTGCAATGAACCAACTCGTTTTGAAAAATAACTTTTAGTTTGTGAGTACACAAGATTTGAAATTTTGATAAAATTTTCGATGTTGCAATTTTTATCGATAATTTTCAAAATTCGCTATAAAATTAGTTTCTTGAAGGATCCTTGTGGAAATATCACCAATTATTAATTAAAATATCCTCTTTTTAATACAACAAGCCGTTTTGAAAAATCACTTTTAGTTCTTGAGAAATAAATTTTTGAAGTAATCGACCATTTTTTCGTATTTTGCAATTTCCGCCGATTAAGTTATAAAATTCGTATAAAATTCATTTCTTAGAATATGAGTATGAAAATTTCCCAAAATGTTAATAAAAGTGTCTTCTTTCCAATGAACCAACCCGTTTTGAAAAATAGCTTTTAGTTTTTGAGAAAACAATATTTGAAGTTTTGATAAAATTTTCGATATTGCAAGCTTCATCGATAAATTTTAAAATTCGCTATAAAATTGGTTTCTTGAAGGATCCTTGTGGAAATATCACCAATTATTAATTAAAGTATCCTCTTTTTAATCCAACAAGCCGTTTTGAAAAATCACTTTTAGTTCTTGAGAAATAATTTTCGAAATAATCGACAATTTTTTTTAATTTTGCAATTTTCGCCGATTAAGTTTTAAAAATTCGTATAAAATCCATTTCTTGGAATATGAGTATGAAAATTTCCCAAAGTGTTAATAAGAGTGTCCTCTTTCCAATGAACCAACACGTTTTGAAAAATAACTTTTAGTTTTTGAGAAAACAATATTTGAAGTTTTGATAAAATTTTCGATGTTGCAATTTTCATCGATAATTTTCAAAATTCGCTATAAAATTAGTTTCTTGAAGGATCCTTGTGGAAATATCACCAATTATTAATTAAAGTATCCTCTTTTTAATGTAACAAGCCGTTTTGAAAAATTACGTATAGTTCTTGAGAAATAAATTTTTGAAATAATCGACCATTTTTTCGTATTTTGCAATTTCCGCCGATTAAGTTATAAAATTTGTATAAAATCCATTTGTTGGAATATGCATATGAAAATTTCCCAAAGTGTTAATAAGAGTGCCCTCTTTCCAATGAACCAACACGTTTTAAAAAATAACTTTGTGTTTNAATCCATTTCTTGGAATATGCATATGAAAATTTCCCAAAGTGTTAATAAGAGTGTCCTCTTTCCAATGAACCAACACGTTTTAAAAAATAACTTAGTTTTTGAGAAAACAGAGAATTCTTTATTGGCTATCGACCGTTAGCTTATTAGGCCCTGGTCTTTCCGCCTTTTTAAACAATTTATATAAATAATATAATAAATGTGCTTACAATACAATTCATAACAGTAATGTAATATATAATTTCAAATATCTTCTTCTGTATCCATCGTAAGTGCTTCATAGATTGTCCAATGTTTATTGTCATCATCTTTTACGTCTCTTTTTAAACACATATTGTCTAATATCCGCCTGTTGTACTTTTTATTTATGAACTTCTTATTTAGTTCTTTGTGCCTTAGTCTTATTGGTTTTATTTGTGTTTGAGCNTCGTAAGTGCTTCATAGATTGTCCAATGTTTATTGTCATCATCTTTTACGTCTCTTTTTAAACACATATTGTCTAATATCCGCCTGTTGTACTTTTTATTTATGAACTTCTTATTTAGTTCTTTGTGCCTTAGTCTTATTGGTTTTATTTCTGTTTGAGCGTATAGGCCTTCATTGCTTATTTTGTGCAAAGGATTTCTTGGGTGTCGTATTTTAGTTATTATTCTTATGCATTTCCTTTCTGCTTTATCAATGATATCTTTGGTCTTATTACTCGCGTTAACAGTTAATATGTGTCCATAGTCTAATACCGGTCTGCATATGGCTTTATAAATCTTCATTGCCGTGTTGGTGTGTATCCCTTTGTTTTTATAAGTTAGTGCTCGAAAGTATTTTGCCCTACTGATTGCTTCGTCTCTTTTGGTTTTGTAATGCTTGGATAGTTTTAGGGCATTATCCTAAATAATGCCCAGGTATTTAACGGAAGAGGATGGTCTTAAGCGTATGTTGCCAGCATACACTATTGGATGCATGAGAAAACAATATTTGAAGTTTTGATAAAATTTTTGATGTTGCAATTTTCATCGATAATTTTCAAAAAATTATTAATTAATTATTATCTATTTAATACATCAGTGTATTGAAATATAAATGACAGCGCTCATAGATTCCATGTTCATAGATAAACTCGGGATATTCCCCGAGTTGTCTATACTCAATCTCTGTCTATACTCTGTCTATACTACAATTCTAGTGTTAGTCCTTGTTTTAGTTATTATTGAGCGGTAAATTGTTGTATATTTTTATTGAACTAAGAGTAGAACCAACACTAAACGCACGACTAAACCCGAATGTTTCTAATTCTTAGTGTAGTGTTAGTTCTAGTGCTAGTATTAGCTATAGTTAAAGTTTAATTACAAATTAAAATTTTTTGATATAACCAATACTCCCTTCCCCGTATTAATCAATTATATCGAGGTTTTACTGTATTATTTAAATCTTTTGTTNTCCATCGTAAGTGCTTCATAGATTGTCCAATGTTTATTGTCATCATCTTTTACGTCTCTTTTTAAACACATATTGTCTAATATCCGCCTGTTGTACTTTTTATTTATGAACTTCTTATTTAGTTCTTTGTGCCTTAGTCTTATTGGTTTTATTTGTGTTTGAGCGTATAGGCCTTCATTGCTTATTTTGTGCAAAGGATTTCTTGGGTGTTGTATTTTAGTTATTATTCTTATGCATTTCCTTTCTGCTTTATCTATGATATCTTTGGTCTTATTACTCGCGTTAACAGTTAATATGTGTCCATAGTCTAATACTGGTCTGCATATTGCTTTATAGATCTTCATTGCTGTGTTGGTGTGTATCCCTTTGTATTTATAAGTTATATTTTTATTGAACTAAGAGTAGAACTACTTACTAGAACTGTCTAATTCATAATGTAGTGTTAGTTCTAGTGCTAGTATTAGCTCTAGTTAAAGTTTAAGTACAAGTTAAAATTTTTTGATATTTATTTATCAATTATATCGAGGTTTTACTGTATTATTTAAATCTTTTGTTGTAGTTTTAAACGAAAAGGGTTTTATAGAAACGTCTCCATAACTTTATTAATCGTAATTATTTTATTAATTATTGCTTTAATAGTAATAACAACTTGTTGTAAGTATCACAAAAATAATTACTCAATCCGACTTAATTACTCAATTTTTTTGTTACACCAAAAGATGTAAAAACTGCGAAATATTACTCGATGTCGATTTGTACATCAGGAGATTGTTTAAGATCAGCATCAAATTTACGTCTATCTATGGATTTATCCGTGGATCCTTGCGAAGATTTTTATAATTACACCTGTGGAAAATGGACTGAAGAACACATAAATCACGGGTGGTATTCAAGATTTTCAACGTTCGAAACGATAAATGAACGAGTTATAGTTTCAACGTTAAATTTTTTAAACTCAAACGAATCTAAATCGGAACCACTCCCGGTTAAACAAAGCAGGGATCTTTATAAATCCTGTATGAATTTAGAATCAATTAATAAATTGGGGTATTCGGTTATTTTTAAATACTTAAAATTGATCGAATTACCGAGTGTACCAAAAATTTTTAATGCAACCGAACAAGAAGTCGATTCGTATCAATTTGATTGGATTAAAGCCGATGTTAATAGCAAAAAAATGTTTGCTACAGATCTTTTTGTACAATTTTTAGTTGACGCCGATATATTTAATCGGAGCCAAAATGTTATGTTTCTAGGATCATCAAGAGCTACATCACCATTACCAAGGTTTTATTAACTTTTATTAACTCTCCTATTTTATTATTAATTATTTTATTGCATTTTAGCCCGTTTAAAAAATCTAATTACAAAAAGAATAAATCAAAACAAGATGATAAAACTAAAAACGAAGATGAAGATGAAACCTATGAAAAAACATATAAAAATGTTGCAAAAGTTGTAATGAGAATTATTGTTGGGAATGTTACGAAAGCTCCTGATGAAAAAAGCTTACAAAAAATCGTTGATCTTTTATGGAACGTAACTGAAACTTTATCAGATGTAATTTTGAACTCAAATCTTTATAATTATTTTGATTAAAAATTTTGTAGCTTGCCGGTGATGATGACGATTATGAATCGGATGAAGAGGAATACTACGATTTCAAAAAGATGAAAATTTCTGAACTCCAAAACTTAACAACGACTTATTTAAAACGAAATAATTTAGATTTACCACATACGAGAAACATTTGGGAAAATTATATAAAATTATTATACAAGGATCTCCCAGAGATTAAATTAGATTTAAATGGAAACGATTTAATTCATTTTTTACCATCAGAATTGGATTATTTGATAAACGTCGTACTTTTCTTAACAGAATCTCCCGGAGTTGCAATAGAATTGTATGCTTGGTATCAAGCTGTTTATAGTATGATTATTAACACAACGACAGAAATCGTTAATTTTATTTATAACCAGGTTTATGAAGGAAAAACAACGTCAGTTTTAAGAACAAGGTAATTTTTTGTAATTTTAAATTTAAATTATTTTAATTATTAATTCTTTTAAATTAAACTACCCATAATTTTGTGGTTAACAACCCAAGACAATCTTATATTTTCGTCTGTATAATCTCCCCCATATTTATATAATATAAAATTACGTCTGAATATATTTCCTTTTATTGTGAGTCAATTTATTTACTGGCATTGAAAGAGCAGCCAAAGATGAAGGCCTGTACATAAATCAAGAAAAGACTAAGATAACACGAAGTGAACATAGGGAAAGACCTGAAACTATAACAGTAGGCGAATATACTTTCTAGAATGTTCAAGCATTTAAGTATCTAGGTGTAATCTTTACAAGTGACAATACGACAAAAATACAAGACAGAATACAGGCTGCAAACAGATGTTACTATGCGCACATGAGGATTTTCAAATCAAAGGACATATCTAGAGTGGCCAAGCTGAGGATGTATAAGACCTTGGTCAGACCAGTTTTAACTTACGGAGCGGAATCTTGAAATCTGACAGAAGAGAACAAAAGCGCACTTCCGGTCTATGAGAGAAAGATACTCCGTAGAATATTTGGACCAGTGATAGCAGCAGAAGGAATACGGAGAAGAATATATATAGAATTTCAAAGGAAAGAGCTGCGAGCATGGTTTTTAGAGCAAATATGGCAGGTACAAGAAGTAGGGGCAGNCAACCCAAGACAATCTTATATTTTCGTCTGTATAATCTCCCCCATATTTATATGGTATAAAACAATTACGTCTGAATATATTTCCTTTTATTGTGAGTCAATTTATTTACTGGCATTGAAAGAGCAGCCAAAGATGAAGGCCTGTACATAAATCAAGAAAAGACTAAGATAACACGAAGTGAACATAGGGGAAGATCTGAAACTATAACAGTAGGCGAATATACTTTCTAGAATATTCAAGCATTTAAGTATCTAGGTGTAATCTTTACAAGTGACAATAACATAACGGCAAGTATACAAGACAGAATACAGGCTGCAAACAGATGTTACTATGCGCACATGAGGATTTTCAAGTCAAAGGATATATCTAGAGTGGGCAAGCTGAGGATGTATAAGACCTTGGTCAGAAATTCGGTCGGAATCCTGAAATCTGACGGAAGCGAACAAAAGCGCATTTCCGGTCTTTGAGAGAAAGATACTCCGTAGAATATTTGGACCAGTGATAGCAGCAAAAGGAATACGGAGAAGAATAAATTTTGTAAGTTCACAAAGACTTAGATAGGCTGGACACATTATCAGAATTTCAAAGGAAAGAGCTGCGAGCATGGTTTTTAGAGCAAATATGGCAGGTACAAGAAGTAGGGACAGGCCCCGCATGAGATGAAAGGATAGAGTGGATGNAGAGCTGCGAGCATGGTTTTTAGAGCAAATATGGCAGGTACAAGAAGTAGGGGCAGACCCCGCATGAGATGAAAGGATAGAGTGGATGATGATACCAGGGTTCTGAGGATTCAGGTGTGTTTACGTTGGAGCTGCGATAATAGCGACGATACTACCAAAACAACGAAATTGTTGTCATAGTTTTATATGCAAGTGCTTATATTGGAACGAGAGCTGCGATAAACGATAAGAACAACAATGAGAGCAGCGATAAGAGCTGCGCAAAATGAATTGAAAACGGTTTGTCAGAACAAATCTGTTGTGGTAATTTTTATCTTTTTGGTCCCACAAGGGGGATCTAACAAAAATTTCACTAATTAAACAGTCGACATCCATGCCGACCACACTTGATAATAGCAAAGAAAATAGGGAATACAATTAGCGTCGCTCTTATCGTTAGTCGGCTGTCAAGCTTGTGACAATTCGTCGCTCCAATATAAACACTTGCATACAAAACTATGACAGCAATTTCGTTATTTTGCTAGTATCGTTTATCGCACTTCCAACGTAAACGCACCCTTAGAAATTGAAGGAGGATTGCTGAAAACCGGATGGATTGCAAGAGGATAGTGGAGGAAGCCAAGGCCTACCCCGGGCTGTAGCGCTAAAAGAAGAAGAAGTATTGTGAGTCAATAGGATTGACTTCAGAGTAGAACGAAATGATGTTATATCATACCTCTTTTTTGTAATTTTGGAGGTTGGTCTGTCTTTATAATTAGCTTTGTCTGTATTTGAAAGTCTTTTCATGGATGTATCGGTAAAGACCATGTCTTCCGATGTACAAACCATGGTTTGGTATATGCTGTATTTTCTCATTGAAAGTTATAGAAATCTTTTATCGATCACCATATTATTAACAAAAATCTAAATTTGTCTTTTTGGGCAATCTCTCTGCACTTATTTCTGGTTATATCGAGCAGTATAAGGAATTACTAATGGCTGAGATATACTACAGAGGTTTATCTCTGATTTCATCTAACTCAGCCATTTTCGAAGGATTTCAATTTGGACGTGTTATGTACCTACTTACGAACGATACACGATGTATTTAACAGTTTTATCGTCTTGTTTACAAGCACCACATTAAGAACTACTAATAAGCTTTTAGTTATAAAGGTATTTAGTCATACTGNTGTAAGTTCACAAAGACTTAGATAGGCTGGACACATTATCAGAATTTCAAAGGAAAGAGCTGCGAGCATGGTTTTTAGAGCAAATATGGCAGGTACAAGAAGTAGGGACAGGCCCCGCATGAGATGAAAGGATAGAGTGGATGATGATACTAGGGTTCTGAGGATTAGAAATTGGAGGAGGATTGCTGAAAACCGGATGGATTGCAAGAGGACAGTGGAGGAAGGCAAGGCCTACCCCGGGCTGTAGCGCTAAAACAAGAAGAAGTATTGTGAGTCAATAAGATTGACTTCAGAGTAGAACGAAACGATGTTATATCATACCTCTTTTTTGTAATTTTGGAGGTTGGTCTGTCTTTATAATTAGCTTTGTCTGCATTTGAAAGTCTTTTCATGGATGTATCTAAAAAGAAAAATCTTCTCTGCACTTATTTCTGGTTATATCGAGCAGTATAAGGAATTATCTCTGATTTCATCTTACTCAGCTATTTTCGAAGGACTTCAATTTGACGTGTGATGTACTTACAAACGATACACGATGTATTTAACAGTTTTATCGTCTTGTTTACAAGCACCACATTGAGAACTACTAATAAGCTTTTACTTATAAAGGTATTTAGTCATACTGAACTGTTATGGGTATTGTTGGTTCTATTAGTTCTAATCTAAAGTTGTTAGTATTAAAGACTGCTTTTTTCTTCCCTTTGAGGTTGCTGCACTCAGTGTATCACCAGGCTACTGTCCAGTTAAAGAAGTTATTAAAGAATCATTTCTTATCATGGTCCAAGTTAACTTTATATCTCCCAAACAGTCAGATGAATATAACTTAAACTCAACCACTTTAGTATTTCCTGTTTTGTGCTTGAGACACCGAGTAGTGGTAGTTTGCAGAGATGTGCCTATCAAGGAGATAATATCGTCGATAGCCATAAAGGCTGATTTTGTGTCTGAATGAAACAAATTACGATTATTGTCAACTCTTCTTGTAGAGGAAAAACAGAGTGCGAATTAGTGCATATCTTGATCTTGAATTCGAGCTGTTACCACGAACTCTGTTAATAGTTCTGTTAATGTCAATATTTTGGATCCAAAAGTTAATATTGGCGGTACATGGTTTTATATATTTTAGTTTTGGCATCCTTATAAATTTACTGCTACTTGTATTCTCTGAAGTTTTAAGTAATTCCTAGTTTCATTGACTTTCTCCATAAATGTGATGAAAGCGCGAGCTGAGACTTTATCCTTGTCGCTTTATCGATAGCCTTTTCGAGATTTAGAATCTTGAAAACTTTCATTTTTCTATTGCTTGCTCCAATAGTTTCATATCTGTGCTTGGTAATGTAATTCCACGATAGAATACAAACACGATTAATGCTTTCCCCTACTCCGCTGACAGTTCTCCTTCTCTCCATACCTTATTATACATCTGCAGTGATATAGCTTTTCCTCTTTGTCCGATATATCCTATATATTCTTGATTATTTTCGATGTTATTTCAGCGAAGTGGTAACCATATAGTATAAGTTATGGAATATGAGAAGGCATGTCCAAAGTAGATTTGGCCAAAACCTTTCATCTTGGAATGACCACGATCAGATCCATCTATTGATCAGATTTTTCTGATTCTGCGCACGTGGATCTTTGTAGTATTGAAAAAAAAAGCAAATATTTCCTGCATTCTTTATCAGTCATTCGGCGTCTCTCTTTCTAACACTAAAAACTATAAAATGATGAACTATGAACACGAAGCACGCTCGGAGTACTTCCTGTTCTCGATGTTTATGTGAAAATGTAAATCATAAAAAAAACTTCTTAAATAAAATAAACGGTTGTAAAAACTTTATCATTTAACATGTATAATGTATTCTTAAGCCTAAACTTATTTATTTACTCTTCGTAATATTTTACCATCACTACTAATTAATTAAAATTTAAAACTTACAATTTTATTTCTGTTTAGATCAATGAGTTGCGCAGATAATGTTGTTTTAAAATTTATGGGAGTTGCTGTAAGTTATGGAATTGTTGACAAATCATTTCTAAATGCGACTAAACCAAAAGTGGAAACAATGCTTAAGAACATAAAGGATGCTTTTGTCGAGAGGGTTAAAAAAATTACATGGATGGATGATGAAACTAAAGATGCAACGTTGGAGAAAAGCTCTGAAATGGTGAGCTTCATAGGATTTCCTGAATGGTTATTAAACAAAACGGCTTTGGAAATTTATTATGATGGGGTAATAAAAATGTGTGATATTTTTAGTATTATTAAGTACTATTTGTTTTTTTTAGATTATAATAAAAAATGATACTTATTTAGAAAATATGATTTCTGTTATACGAGAATATGTTCGTTTTACGTTAGGAGATATAAGAAGAGAAAACCCGAGAACTTGGAGAACTGATCCAATTACAGTTAATGCTTACAATTACTTTGGAGATAACTCAATTAGTAAGAATTTCTTGTTAATACTTCAATTAAAATTCTATCTTAATGAATTAATTTTAGATGTTCCTATAGCAATATTATCTTTTCCAATTTATCATCTTGGATTGGAGTAAGGAAACTAAAAATTAATAAATTGAATGTTAATTGTTTAATTTTTTTTCTGTAACAGAGTATTAAATTATGGTGCCATGGGAAGTGTTTTAGGTCATGAATTAACACATGGCTTTGATAATACAGGACGAAAATTTGATAAATACGGAAATTACATTCAATGGTGGAGTAATGAAACCATTGAAACATTCGAAACTAAAACGAAATGTTTTGTGGAACAATACAATAATTACACTTTGCCAAATATCGACGATAGCGTTAACGGAAAAATGACTTTAGGTGAAAATTTAGCCGATAACGGGGGACTTAATCATGCTTTTTTAGCTTATAAGAATTACGTGAAGAAAAATGGAAAGGAAAAGTTATTACCCGGTTTCGAAAATTATAGTCATGAACAATTATTTTTTATAGCATATGCTAATGTAACAGTTTTAAAACAAGTTAAGTAGTGGGGATGATTTAAATGTAAATTTTTTAGGTTTATTGTGAAACACCAACTCGAGAATCTTTAGTGTCTCAATTAAAAACTGACGAACATAGTCCAAATTCCGTAAGAGTAATAGGAACCTTGCATAATTCTGACGATTTTGTAAAAGCATTCAAGTGTCCTCGAGGTTCAAAAATGAACCCGAAAAAAGAAAAATGTAGAATATGGTGATTTAAAATGTCAGATAATTATTTAGTGTGATAGTTGTGTGATATTAAAGAACACGTGTGATATTCATTGTTAGAATGTTTTTTTTCACGTTTGTTAAAATGAAATATAAAAAATAAGTAAAAACGATTGGAGGTGTTTTATTTCTTTTTATTTAGTTATCCTTGGTAAACAAACATTTATCACAGCAAACATTAAAATTTTTAATGTTTATGGTTTTTTTGTGAGATGAATAAATTTGGTGATTTAATGTTTTCCAAAGGAAATGGAAGAAAAACTGGATGCTCCACCTCCATGCCCGATGGAACCACCTCCGAATCCACCCCCTAATCCTCCATGTCCTCCACCTAATCCACCTCCAAGTCCTGCTCCTAATCCTCCATGACCACCTCCTAATCCTCCTCCTAAACCACCTCCTAATCCTCCTCCGAATCCACCTCCGAATCCACCTCCGAATCCACCTCCAAATCCACCTCCAAAACCACCTCCGGCTCCACCTCCGAAACCACCACCAGCTCCGCCTCCGGCTCCACCACCTCCTCCAACAAAAATGGGTTGTGGTACTGGTACAACAACGGTGTTTGGTACTCTAACTGGGACTGGTTGTGGAACAGTAACAGGGTATGGTTGTGGGACAGGTACTTGAACTGGAACTTGGACTGGTACTTGAACTGGTGTTGGTACTGGAACTTGGACTGTTCTGGTTACGGTGACTGGTACTGGGCGTGGTACAACAACGGGTTGTGGTACTGGAACAGGTACTTGTACTGGTCGTGGAACTGCTACTGGAACTGGAACTTGTACGGGAACTGGAACTGTACGAGTGACTGTGTACGGTTGTGGAACTGGTACTGGTACGTTAACTGTGTTGGTTACAGTGCTGACGGTAGCTCCACCTCCGGCTCCAGCTCCTCCTCCAAATCCACCACCAGCTCCTCCTCCAAATCCACCACCAGCTCCTCCTCCAAATCCACCACCAGCTCCTCCTCCAAATCCGCCACCAGCGCCTCCTCCAAATCCACTACCGAATCCTCCTCCGATTCCTCCCCCAAATCCTCCCCCTAAACCACCTCCATGTCCACCTCCAAGTCCACCGCTTCCGCCTCCAAAGTCTCCCCCATGTCCTCCTCCTAGTCCTCCACCAAATCCACCTCCATATCCACTATCGATGATGCCACGCTTTTCATTTTTCTTTTTAGCATCTTCGCAAAGAACTTTGGAAAGGACAGCTAAGACGACGAATGTTACCTATAATAACAAGAAAATTATATATATATTTTTTTGTTATTTTCCTATCTTACCAGGAAAGACTTCATCTTGGCTTCAAGCGGTGGTCAATGCTTGAGTGATGTCCGTGTTGAACACATCGGGTGTTTTTATACCCACATGGTGGGGGAGAACGTACTGTTCCCCATATTCGCTCTAATTTGATTGGGTTAAAGCGGATGTAAAAATAAAAATGTTTTCGCTAGAGGTACTTTTGTGGTATGAATATTTAATTTTTGTAATTTGTACACGATTTGTTTAATCGGAACGAAAATGAAATAATTTTAGGATCATCAAGAGTTACATCAATACTTCAATGATTAAGTAACTTTCTTTAATTCTCATTTTTAATAAATTGTTTAAAGAATGTTTTTCGAATACGAAGGTGCCAAATATTAATAATAAAAACTTTCCCACTTCACAGTCTGATGAATCTGTAATATGTTGCTATTTACCATTATTCTTGATGTCTAGTTTTGTTGTTTTTATGAATAAAATAATTGAATCTTATTCTGTTATCTAAAGTTTTATAAGGTGTCTAACAGAAGTGTGTAATCAGGGTTATATGTTATCATTTATATAGTTTTGCAAGATTTATATACAATTAACAACATTTTCTTTCTTGAATTAATTATTATAAGTTATATCAACTAGCTTATAATAATACACTTTAATATACTTTACATATTTTAAATGTAAAGTATTTGACCTAACTCTTCTATTATTCATTAATGACTTTATTGCGATTATAAAGTTACCATCTTGAAAATTGTGAGACAAGTTATCATGTGGTTTGAAAATATTGTTATAATATTTATTTGCCTATTATTTGAAAATATTTCTTAAAGTTTGGTAATAGTAACATTTTAAAATCATATCTACCTATTTGCTGGAGCCATTTAAATATTCAATAATAAATACATGCGGCACTTTTCCCTCACCATGCGGAGGTATAAAAACCGCCGGAATCTTCAACACAGGCATCACTCAAGCATTCACCACCGCTTGAAGCCAAGATGAAGTATTTCCTGGTATGATAGGATACCACAGCCAAAAAGGGAGGGAATAAAATCATTTTCGTTTTTTATAGATTACCTTTGTCGTCTTAGCTGTCCTTTCCCAAGGTCATTGCGAAGGTTCCAAAAAGAAAAATGAGAAACGTGGCATCATCGATAGTGGATACGGGGGAGGATTTGGAGGAGGACTAGGAGGACATGGGGGAAGCTTTGGAGGCGGAAGCGGTGGATTTGGAGGTGGACATGGGGGTGGTTTGGGAGGTGGAATTGGAGGTGGAGGATTCGGTGGTGGATTTGGAGGAGGAGCTGGTGGTGGATTCGGAGGAGGAGTAGGAGGTGGAGTTGGCGGCGGATTCGGCGGAGGAGCTGGTGGTGGATTCGGCGGAGGAGCTGGAGGTGGCGCCGGAGGTGGAGCTACAATCAGCACTGTTACAAGCACCGTCAATGTACCAGTACCAGTTCCCCAACCTTACACAGTCACTCGTACCGTACCCGTTCCTGTACAAGTTCCAGTTCAAGTAGCAGTTCCACGACCAGTACAAGTACCAGTCCCAGTTCCACAACCCGTTGTTGTACCACGCCCAGTACCAGTTACCGTAACTAGAACTGTCCAAGTTCCAGTACCAACACCAGTTCAAGTACCAGTCCAAGTTCCAGTTCAAGTACCTGTTCCTCAACCTTATCCAGTTACCGTTCCACAACCGGTCCCAGTTAGGGTACCAAACACCGTTGTTATACCAGTACCACAACCTATTTTCGTCGGAGGAGGTGGTGGAGCTGGAGGTGGTTTCGGAGGTGGTGCTGGAGGCGGTTTCGGAGGTGGATTGGGAGGCGGATTTGGCGGAGGATTAGGAGGTGGTTTAGGAGGTGGATTGGGAGGTGGATTAGGAGGTGGTTTAGGAGGAGGATTCGGAGGTGGTCATGGAGGATTAGGAGGAGGACTTGGAGGTGAATTAGGTGGAGGACATGGAGGAATTGGAGGAGGACTTGGTGGAGGTGATGGTGCATTCGGAGCTGGATCCATCGGACATGGAGGTGGAGCATCCAGCTTTTCTACCATCTCCTTTGGAAAACATTAAACTGCTAAATTATTTACCCACCTTTAAAACCAAAAATAAAATTGAATGTCTTGCTGTGATATTAAATAAAATTAAAAAAAAAGGAAATTAAACAATCTAATCTTTATTTATATCCTTAAGTCTTATATAAATTTTTATGTATGTATGTACAGAAATATAAAATACATGCAGTGAAACGCTTTCAATATTGCTTTGATTTTGCAAGCTTTTAGTTCTAAGCTTTGACGAACGTAGTAGGTACGAACAAGCCACAGTGATGATGTGGAAAATGTGTATTCCAATTCTGATTGTTATTTCAAAAATTTATTGCAATAATCTTCTTATTAAATTTAGTTGATAGAGAAAACGAGCTATTATGCAATGACCCTTAAAATACACTATAAAGCTATAGCTACAGATTTCTGGATTCAGTCTCAAGTAAAGTCAAAGAAGAGTTTTGTAAAATCTGCACAGAGAGAGGAGTCCGAAACACAATCTCTTGATGTAATTGAAAAGAGACGAAGCTAACTCTAGCATTTTATAGTATAAAAGTTTTATAATTGAAATGCAAATGATCTAAAGCTCTGCTGAAGGCGGCAATGAAATTGGACGTTTTGTTATTGCAGGTGATTTAAGTGTGTCATGGTACGGATGAAGAACTGAGACTGGAAATGGGATGTATCTTGTTTTTCTTTGTGGCTAAAGAATTCTGTGTTTCTGATAGTGAAGTTGGACACCATTAAATCCATCAGTGTGTGTATTTCAGAAGTATGGTATTGGGAATGACCACTACATAATTTTTCACATTAGGCTTAGGATCAAGCTCTTGGCTTAGTTTTAAGTTTAAACCAAATGAGTTTATCTCACATATTGCCATTCTGTGTTCTTTTCAGTGTTGTTATTCTTAACACATATATGAAGAAACCTTATTCCCAAAGAGTCTCTATATTCTGATCAAGGAGATATTTTTTTACTTCAGATTATGTGGAGTTCGTCGATTGGTAGTAAATGTTGATGAGATACCTAAATAAAAGTTGTGGCAATGCATTTTGATTTCAAATTAAAAAACACTACAAATTTTAATTAATTTACAAATTTATTTGAAATTATGACACTAGAAAATATTTAAGTTAAGTCGGATTGGTTGTGATTCAGAGTTTAATACCATGAACTTTGATATCCAAAATAGATTACAGTAGAAGATAAATATGCAGATGTTTTAAATATTCAAACAATAATTTTTAATGACAAATGTTTAGAGTTAGATTTATTTTCCAAATAAAGATGATAAGAAGATTGAGGCAATCAACATTAAAGGTAATAATTTGACTAGAAAATCATATATTCTCCATGGCTCCAAAGACTTCTTGTCCGGAAGTTAATATTTAATCTTCATGCAAAAAGCAATAAAAAATAGTTGCTTTCATATTCTTAGAGAAGTGAAGGGTTAAAAAAAGATTAAATTATATAGTTTTGTTTTTATTTAAATTTCCATGGTAAACAAAAAGTTATCACAGCAAGACATTCATTTTTATTTTTGGTTTTAAAGGTGGTTAAATAATTTAGTAACTTAGTGTTTTCCAAACGAAACGCTAGAAAAGCTGGATGCTCCACCTCCATGTCCGATGGAACCACCTCCGAATCCTCCTCCTAATCCACCATGTCCTCCACCTAATCCACCTCCAAGTCCTCCTCCTAATCCTCCATGTCCACCTCCTAATCCACCTCCAAGTCCACCTCCTAATCCTCCATGACCACCTCCAAATCCTCCTCCTAAACCACCTCCTGATCCTCCATGACCACCTCCCAATCCACCTCCTAATCCTCCTCCGAATCCACCTCCGAAACCGCCTCCAGCACCACCTCCGAAACCACCGCCGGCTCCACCTCCGAAACCACCTCCGGCTCCACCTCCGAAACCTCCTCCAGCTCCGCCTCCGGCTCCACCACCTCCTCCAACGAAGATCGGTTGTGGTACTGGTATAACAACGGTGTTTGGTACTCTAACTGGGACGGGTTGTGGAACGGTGACTGTGTAAGGTTGTGGAACAGGTACTTGAACTGGTACTTGGACTGGTACTTGAACTGGTGTTGGTACTGGAACTTGGACAGTTCTGGTTACTGTGACTGGTACTGGGCGTGGTACAACAACGGGTTGTGGAACTGGGACTGGTACTTGCACAGGTCGTGGAACAGCTACTTGAACTGGAACTTGTACAGGGACTGGTACGGTACGGGTGACTGTGTAAGGTTGGGGAACTGGTACTGGTACATTGACGGTGCTGGTAACAGTGCTGACGGTAGCTCCACCTCCAGCGCCACCTCCAGCTCCTCCGCCGAATCCACCACCAGCTCCACCACCAAATCCACCGCCAGCTCCGCCTCCGAATCCACCTCCCGCTCCTCCTCCAAATCCACCTCCAGCTCCTCCTCCAAATCCACCACCGAATCCTCCTCCAATTCCACCTCCTAAACCACCCCCGTGTCCGCCTCCAAATCCTCCTCCCAAGCCACCCCCATGTCCACCTCCAAATCCACCGCTTCCACCACCAAAGCTTCCTCCATGTCCTCCTCCTAGTCCTCCTCCAAATCCTCCACCGTATCCACTATCGATGATGCCACGTTTCTCATTTTTCTTTTTGGCATCTTCGCAATGACCTTTGGAAAGGACAGCTAAGACGACGATTGTAATCTAAATAACAAAATGTTTTTATTCCTTCATCTGTGGTATGTTTAATCCATCTTACCAGGAAAGCCTTCATCTTGGTTTCAAGCGGTGGTTAATGCTTGAGTGATGTCTGTGTTGAAGATACCGGCGGCTTTTATACCTCTGCATGGTGGGGGAGAACGTACTGTTCCTCATGTTCATTGGATTTTTTAAGGAGACTTTCACTATAACGGCGCAATGGCGCATCTCTCTCGGTCGTGGTCAGTCATTATTAGATTGTGAATTAAACATTCTATATTACCATAATAATAGTAGAAATATATTTCAAAATATTCTCTTTCGAGAATGTAACAAATAATAATTTACGTTATGATTAAAACTTTATATGGTAATCTTTAGTAGAGTTATTCGTTTTATGGCTATGGGGTAAAAGAACATAAACCGGCTTTCTTAGTGACTTGGAAGATAATGTATTAATTATGGATAATTATAATAATTTTGTTCATCATCGAATTTACACGCTATCGAAGACTTTTAATATAAATAACTGTTTTATTATTTTAAATCGATTTGTTTTGGACATTTATATCGAGAATTTTTATCGACCAATAATATCTGAAAGAGTTAAGATTTATAGTTAAGATAAGCTTTATTTTTCGTGAGTAAAGAGATATTTAATTTTTTGGTACGTTTTAAAATTACGCACAGAAAGGAACAATTAAGGACTTACAAATCTAGGAAACATTGTCTGTCTAAAAAATGTGTAGGTTAAGCCACCTGCATCTAATCTGGTTATGGTTCTATTACAGATAATAATCGAAATTAGAAAGCACTTTTTTTGGATCTTCCATATGGCTTCCTATTTGAGCAATAACTTCCTGCACTAGTTTCATAATTTTCTCCTCAACTAATCTTGCATAATTTGTTTTGAATGGATTTCGAATCAGATTTGTTGTAGATCTTTATGTACCTAATTTCCTGTCCTGTCTCTCAGCTTCTAATTGCTACTTCCACTTTCTATAAAACATTACATTAACAAATTTTTATTCTCAAAAGATTTTCATTAAAAGTTTATTATGGTATCAAATTATCGATTATTAAATAATAACGTAATTGACACTTTCTATTATTATTTTTTTCATTATGTATCATTATTTAATGCTATATCGATTTATAATATTAAATTTCGAGTTTTCAAGAATTATTTGTGATCATTCATTTTTGTGTATTCTAATATAAATTGTTTAAAGAATTCTAATTGTAAATGGACCCTCTTTTGAGTCATTTCAATTGACTTAATTTTTAAATGGAATATTTATTTTTTTTTATTTTTTATATTTTTTATTTATTTTTATATAGCAATCTGGGTTTATTGTTGTATTTTGTTACATTAAATGTATTTGAGTAAATAAAAGTAAAAAATTTAAGAAGAGGTTTTTTTATTCAATTCACATAATAGACATACAAAAAAATCAACACGTCCTCTAGTGTTCGAAAGAATAAGTTATCACAGCGAGACATTAAGGTTCTTTTTTTGGAAAGGTGATTAAATAGAGGTTAATTTAGTGTTTTCCAAAGGAAACGCTGGAGAAGCTGGATGCTCCCCCTCCATGTCCAATGGAACCTCCTCCGAATCCTCCCCCGGATCCGCCATGGCCTCCTCCAAATCCTCCACCAAGTCCTCCATGTCCTCCTCCTAATCCACCCCCTAATCCACCTCCCAATCCGCCTCCATGTCCTCCACCTAATCCACCTCCTAATCCTCCTCCGAATCCTCCTCCGAATCCACCTCCGAAACCGCCTCCAGCTCCACCTCCGAAACCACCTCCAGCTCCACCTCCGAATCCACCTCCAGCTCCGCCTCCAGCTCCACCACCTCCTCCAACGAAGATGGGTTGTGGTACTGGAATAACTACGGTGTTTGGTACTCTAACTGGGACTGGTTGTGGAACGGTGACTGGGTAGGGTTGTGGTACAGGTACTTGAACTGGAACTTGGACTGGTACTTGAATAGGTTGTGGTACTGGAACTTGTACAGTTCTGGTTACGGTAACTGGTACAGGGCGTGGTACAACAACAGGTTGTGGGACTGGCACTGGTACTTGTACGGGTCTTGGGACCGCTACTTGAACTGGAACTTGGACTGGGACTGGTACTGTGCGGGTGACAGTGTATGGTTGAGGTACTGGGACTGGTACATTAACAGTACTGGTTACAGTGCTGACTGTAGCACCACCTCCGCCTCCGCCTCCACCTCCAGCTCCTCCGCCAAAACCACCTCCAAATCCGCCTCCAGCTCCTCCACCGAATCCACCTCCGAATCCGCCTCCAGCACCCCCACCGAATCCACCTCCAAATCCACCTCCAAGACCTCCTCCTAAACCACCTCCTAAACCACCTCCATGTCCGCCTCCTAATCCACCGCTTCCGCCTCCAAAACCTCCTCCTCCATGTCCTCCTCCAAGTCCACCTCCATAACCGCTATCGATGATACCGCGTTTTTCATTTTTCTTTTCGGCTTCTTCGCAGCGACCTTTGGAGAGGACAGCTAAGACGACTAATGTAATCTAGGGGTGGAAAAATTGGATTTATTTATTATAAAACTTTTTTGGGATGGGATATAATCTTACCAGGAAAGGCTTCATCTTTGCTTCAAGCGGTGTTCAATGCCTGAGTGATGTCTGTACAGAAGACTCCGGTGACTTATATACTTGCACACGGTGGGGGAGAGCGAGCTGTTCCCTATGTTCATTGGATTTTTTCAAAGAGACTTTCACTACGCCGCTATGGCGCATCTCTCCATCGTTCGAAATGGACGCATCGCCCGCCAGACCGTGTCCATTTACGTGACGTAATCGCGGGTGCTTTGATTTTTCTTCATTACCGAAATTAACGAATTCAACTAACAATTTTAAATATGAAAGTCCAATTGTTACCTAAGACGGGCGTTATTATTCCAGAATTACTATTACAATAATAGGAAATATATAAATTAATATTAAAAGAGTTATTTAAATTACCACAAAAAATAATCTAATCTACATTGTTGTGGGGAGATTTTCATCGACATATTGAAATTAAAAATTTATGCGTTGCGAGGAAAATACTCTCTCTTAAATGAGGAAGAAGAAAAACTTATATAACTTTGCTTTGAATTTGCTTTATACTTATTATATTTCTTAATACATAGATTACGTGGAAAACGTTGCGCTACTTTAATTCTTGTATGTGATATATTACTTCATATCAACCTGAATCATAGACGCAATTTTCAAAAAAATTTTAGTCGTAACCACTTTAATTTAAAAGAAATTATATCTTCCGATCATCACAATAAAACGAAAAAGGTGATGGGCATGGAAGCATAAACGAACGAACACTTGAGCGCTCATCCGGAAGCTCCGCAATCTTTTTAAATCTTGCTTCTACCACATAATCTCGCCGGTAATTCCTGCTCTACAATGTTTCTTAATATCCCGTTCGCGTCCTTCCGTTATAAAGAAAGAAACATAAAATTAAGGGTTTTTGTTTAGTTTGTAATCAACGCATTAAGAAATAACGATATATTATAAATGATGATTTGTACGTTCAGCGTAACTAGGCCATTAAATTCATGTTACGTTCCCTTGAGGAATTAGAAATTATTGAAGCAGAAACTGTAACCACAGCTGCCTACTCTAAAGGCGTTAAAAAGACAATTTTAAACTTATTTAACGTTATTTATTACACATTTAAAAAATATAAAGACACATGCGTTATTAAGAAAAAATCATTCTTCTTTTTTTAATGTGATCCATATCCTCCTCCTACTCCTCCATGTGTAATATGTACAGGTTGAGGTACTGGCACCACAACCGGATGTGGTACTCTAACCGGAACTGGTTGTGGTACACTCACAGGGTAAGGTTGTGGTACTGGTACATGAACGGGTACTTGAACAGGTACATGAACAGGTTGTGGTACTGGTACTGGTACAGTTCTCGTTACTGGTACAGGAACTGGTCTTGGTACATCCACAGGTTGTGGTACAGGGATAGGTACTTGAACTGGGCGCGGTACTGGGACGTGAACTGGGTAGGGTTGAGGAACTGGGAAGGTTCTTGTTACGGTGTAAGGTTGTGGAACTGGAACTGGAACGTGGACTGTTTGAGTAACTGTGTTTAAAGTTGCTCCTAATATAGAAATGATAATTAGATTTTGAGAATTAAAATTTTCTTTTTACATACCATGCCCATATCCTCCTGTACTTCCCCCACCATATCCTCCACTACTTCCCCCACCATATCCTCCAGCTGCTAAACCATATCCTCCGGTGTTTCCACCATATCCTCCAGCATAACTGCCACCATATCCTCCACTATATCCTCCAGAATATGTTCCCGAAGATGCTGTTCCAAGTCCTCCGTAACCAGAATCGATTACACCACGCTTTACAACCTTCTTTTCTGGAATATCTTCAGAAGAAGCATGTCCAGAAACAAGGAAAAGTACTCCAACAACCTTAAAACATTAAAAACCAAGAATTGTATAATTCTTTTTCAAATTTCGTGATAAAAATTCTTACCACAATAAGATTCATGTTGATTCCTATACAAGAAAACACCACTGTGTGATAATAAACTCAAAGGGTTAACGAGTATATATACTAAGAAGCTTTCTCCATTTGTAATTTAATATTTTCATTTACACAATGTCATATGAACGTGATGGAAATGAATACCGATGTAAAACTATATCTATGAGAGAGAGATTGTTGCCTACTAACTTTAAAAATTCAAACAAAAAGCAGTTTTCTCATTATATTGGGAAGCAAGTATAAAGAAAATGAATAATACAGGTGAAGAAGATTCCTTTGAGTTACTCAAGCGATTACGTCTTAACGCCACGAGATAACAATGAACTTTCTTTAAACGCTGACGATCGTTTAAAGTATGACCTATTACCATGGAACGACGACGGTCAACATGACCAGACCTTTGTATCTCGGCGTTCAAATGTCAAGAAGATCGATGTCGGTGCATGTTCTATTGAAAAACGACATAAATTCACTTCTTAACCCTGTGTTGAAATGAAAGAATAAAATAAGCTAATTAATTAAAAAAGGAAATATTAAATAAATTAAAAGAAAGTTCTTGGTTAAAAAGATAAGCGAAGACAAAATATCATAAATTGACATTGATTATAGGGATGACGCAACTGATATTAAAATTATTGTGTTATTTCTAGTTCCGGAAATGATCTTCAGATTAAATTCAGGTGAACGTATGGCTGGGGGCGAGGAAGAAGAGGAAAATACAATCTCCGCAGTGGGTAAAAGTAAGAGTTTTAGTTGCAAAAATAAAGAAATTGAAGTGAGCGCTTTCATTTTTCGATTCGTTAAATACAGATAGATGTAAACATTCAAACACCATTAAATTTATCTAAAACTTTATTTTCTCAATAAATCTTTTTTAAGCTTTGATAAAATTAATTTGTTTCAATAATTAATTACACCATATAAGTATATTGATCTAGATTCTAGAATTACAGGTAAAAAAGGAAAATGAAGAAATAGTTAAGACATCTCTTACAAGAGGGAGACTTTTAATAAATGTTGCGTATTATTAAATGTATTATTATTTATTTATGAGGTATTGTTTGTTCAATAAGAGCGTCCTGTATAATCTTGTATATAAGGTAAATCTTGCTGATATTGTCTGTAGTGTTAGTACCTAACAAAGATTATATTTCTATTCCTGAAAAGTTCTTCTTCAACCATAAGGCAATGTCTTGAATCAGATCATTCAATTCCTCTTGAATCAGTTTGTATCGTGTATACCACATAAATCTTGAGTAATTGCAGGAAGGATGTGTAAAGTTGTAAAGACCAGATTGTGATATACAGTGGTTAGCAAATATAGTGTA